TTTTTTCTAAGGATGTTTTCCTACCACAGGTGTGGAAAATAGAGAGCCGGAATTGGGCTCCTTAGCTCTACCCGTTTTTTGTTTTTTCTCTCACTTCAATGCATCACGAAGACAGACAAACAGACAAACAAAGAGAAAAATCAGCAACACAAAACTGAATTATTTCATCAAAAAGAGAGATGGAGAGCGTGATAAAAGCTGGAAAGCTCCTAATAAGGGGAAAGAAGGATGAAAGAGGAGGGCAAGTGTGACGAAATGTGTGTTGACGCAGAGGGACAGGCGTAGAAATAGGTAGAGACGTGGAGAAGAAGAAGAAGAAGAAGAGGCAAAAGATGAGAGGAGGGTAAAGACAGAGAGGAGGGCCTGACCGTATCCTGAGGAGATTAGACGCACAGGAGAGAGAGAGGGAGAGGAATGCAAGCTGAGCCTCCTAAGTAACACACTGATGCTCTCCGGGTGGATGCTTGAACACTTTAAGGGTAAATAGCCCTGAAAGTAATAGCCTTTAAAAAGAACAATCAAATTAAACGCTGAAGCTCAATAACAGCACGCCTTCTTCTCTCTCTCCTCAAAGGGTTACGGTGTCAGACTCGGTTAGCGCCCTCCCAACGCGATTAGGCGGTGACAGGACCAGCCGTCAGCCAGCGCTCTGGAATCAGCTGCGTTCTGAGCGAGCCGCCTGCTGCTTCATTTCCCCCCGGAGGAGTGAAAAAGGTCTGCGGTGGTCTATGACAGAGACGCTGAACTCAAACCAGCACCAGAGTCACTTCACATGTCAGAGCAGATGATGCAGAGACTGTCGGGCTTTGCAGGGTTTTAGGGTGAAGAGTCCAAGCATGCAAGAATTTCATTGTTCAAACATGTAATGATGGAGTCAGAAAAGGAGGCTTTGTGTTTATTCAAGCTGCTCTGCAAAAGGCTTGTATTCTAAAAGCTCTGAGCTCTATGCGGAGATCGGTGAGAGTTCAAACCAGGCGCTCTGCACCAGCATCCTTTTGTCCTCTCTCTCTCTCCTGTCTCATGTTTGTTTATAGCTAAGTCCCAAACAAGTCCTCTCCCATGCTTTTTTGTGTCCGTGTTTGTTTGTTCCTCTCTTTCTCTCAGTCTCTCTCTCTCCTCTTTCTCTCTGAGTTCACTCCATGCCTCTGTTCTCGGCTTTCGCTTTGCTCGCACAGAACCTCGGGGCAGGTTCTTAGTTGTGCTGTGGGAGTGTTTTACACACCAACACACACACACACAGTTACACACACGCAGGCCTGATTGATTTTTCATTGCCTGTCGAGGTATTATGTGTCCCAAAGTGTTTGCGTTTGTTTTTTTTGCTGCGAGGGCAAAATTGGCCATCGTTTGCTCTGTCACACACGGGACTGACTGAAAAAGGAGAGAAAGGAGAGAAGGGAGTAAGAAGGTGGGGGTGACACCTGGGGGAGTTGAAATTGTATTTAGGGAGCGTGATTTCAGAAATGCAAAGGGAAGAGAAGGTAACCCAAAGACGGGGTTAAGATCCTTATCTGGAAGAATGGTGGTTGTATGAGAAAAAAAAAACAGGAAGAGAATTGCGCACCGGCGCTTGAATTTCTTTGCACACATTGTTCTGATATTATTTCTCCCTATTTCACTGTGGCGCCCCAGAGAGCCGCGCTGAAGAGATAGCAGAGGCTGCAGAGAGGAGCTGGAAGGATGTGGAGAGATGCAGATTAAAGTAGGGTGTGTGTGTGTGTGTGTGTGTGTGCAGGAGCGTGACATATTGTGAAAAAGAATAACAAAGATGTTTTAAACCACAAAATCCCAGGATTTACAAAAAAAAGTGTATGTGTGAGTGTTGCACATTGGAGGCTTCTTAAAAAGTGCTCTTAACATTTCTCGCAGAGTGAGCTTCAAATCACTTTATTTTTCTCTTTAATGTTTTTTTTTTACACATTCAGTGAAATTAGAAATGAAGTCTGAAGAAGCCGGGCAAGGTTCAGTGAGAGGTTATCATGTGGAAGAGGACGGAACAATTGTGTTAACTCTCCCTGCAGGCTTAATTATTTCATGGACACAATGCAGGCCAGGGATTGGATGAAACAGTGAAATCATTCTGCACGTGTTGATGTTCAGCGGAGTTGCACACTTTCAGAGAAAATAACTAAGCAATATTTTGTCAAAACAGATGATTGATGATGTATTAATGTATAGACCTGCGGTATATCATTATACATGATCCTTTACATACAAAGTATTTTGCTCCAAAGGTCTCAAACCCAACATCTCCAACATTAACATAAACTATGGTCCGCTGCTTTTCTTCTTTAGGTTTATCTTATTAATTATGGCGTCCCTTAATGGATCGAAATTGTGTGACCTACTTCCTTTTTTTTACATAACTGACACTTCTGTAGCGGTCCTCCATGTAGGAATGGGCTGGTCACATTAGTGGGTTAGCTCAGTCTGTAGGGACTTGTGTTAGGAATCAGAGGGTCGCCAGTTCAGGTCCCGATGCAGACCATCACTTTGCACGATTTGATAGTGAGATTTGACTCACCAGTTAAGAAAAGGTCCAGCTTTGTGTCCGGGGTTCAAAGTACAAGTTTTAACTTTCAGAAGTTCTCAATGACTGTTTTAGAGATGACTGTGTCCTGCTTCCTTCTGGCTGACTGCTTGAGATTTGTTTCAATTAGGTGATTAGTTCACCTGGGGAAAGGGGGTAGATGCCTGTTGGCGGCAGACTGCATCCAATTGGCTCAGGGGATTTGATTGACAGATGCTGTTGTCCCATGCAAGGGACTATTTCAGCAGTGTTACAATGAGTTGGTCTGGTAGCTGGAGAGGGTGTCAGGTGACCTCGAGCAAGGCATCGAACCCCCAACCGCTCTGGCGAGTAATTTGTCCACAGCTTCTGTTTGTGCATGTTGTTAATTCAGGCCTATCTGTGTGAGTCTCAATAACAAGAGTGTAAACCAGAATTTCAAATTTAAATTTAAAAACATTAGACATGTTTTTTTTTTTTGCAGAGTGCGTTGCATGCCACACACAGAGCCACTTCCCGCCCCGCGCTTTCAGGGAGCACGCGTTCTGCGAGTGCAAAGTTCAGAGGAACAAAAGACTTCAGGCTTATTGTGTGAATACAAAAAGTGAGTCAGAAATTAAAGACTTAAGAGGATAGAGCGTAGAACAAGAAGAACATAAGCTGCCAGCTTAAGATATGAAAATGTGAAAAGCTGTAAGAGACTTTTAAACTGCATGGTCGTGATTAAAGCACACACACATGCACGCACATGCACACGCATATGCACACACGCACCGCTATAAGCATGCGAGAAATTTATGGATTTATCCTTTTTAATAATGCTGCAATAATGATCCTGTAATTGCTGATTAAGAAGGCCTGAACTGTACACACAGACTGAAGTACATCAGTGGATAAGGTGTAGGTGTGAACGAGGGCGGTGCAGCAGTGTGCAGGACGACTTTGTAAGATGAGAGGAAGGAAACACGGCGAGGGAAGGTGCAGCGAGCAGCCCCGGTTGTAAATCACACTAATATGCTCAGAAAACAATAGTTAAATATTTCATTCTATTGACATTAGCAGTGTCCTGAAGTCACTTCCTTTTTATAAATGAGCTCATTCTGCAGTTTTTTTTCACCCCTCTAAACAGATACTGTAACCAGTGTTCTGTGGCGGCGATGAGTTGTATTTACTCTATCGTGTCTGATTTATGACTCACGCAGTCATATAGCAGAACCAGGTTGGCTTCTCGTCTTTATTTCCATTGATGAATCGCTCCCTGGCTGAGCAGCAGCTGTGCGACCTCTTACCTCACATGATGTGTTGCTTACGAGCCGCGAGTGAGTCACTTATGCTAATGCTGAAATGTGTTACATCAATCTGTCGGTTTCTACCTGTTCATGCTCGTCTGAATGGAAGAAAAGGTGCCAGGACAAATATTTATCATGTGTTAACGAACTGAGAAATACACAAAACAAGACTTTAGGGGGGGCGGGGGCAGAGTTTAGATGATGCAGCGACTCTGAAAAATGCTTTTTATTTATAATCAAATATCAGAGATAAACAAGTTATTAGTTCGTCATCAATTTAAAGTATTTACAGCCTTATTTTAAACTTTAATTCATGTTAATGTGATACCAAAAGTTAGCTTGACTGAGGCATTTTTTTTAAAGCTATAGTTGACTTAAAGCCTAACTATATTCTAACAAAATTACAACAGAGGATGTTTATCACACCTGTTACATTTCAGGTCAGATTTTTGAGTACAGATTTGCACAATTTAAATGAAGGTTCATCGAGTTTCCAAAGAGGCAAAAAGAGGAAACATGAAAGAATCACAGCTGTCAAACAGAGACCTGTGGAGAATGAAGACCGACTGCTTCAAGATGTTCTGTAAGTAAAAGATGCAAAACCTTAATTTCTGAGGACGTGCACAACCAACATGCAAGGCTGATGTCATGCATTTGAATACTGTACTCGTAGTTATAAGCATGTATACCCGGGGCTTTAGAGGGGGGTGGGACATCCATGTATTTAATTGAATTTAAAGTTCGAAGAGGCTTCAAGGTGCATTCATTTTCAGACACACTCTATAAACCTCTTGGCAAGCTACTGAAAAAAATGTCTGAAGCGACATGTTGGAGACCTCAAAACTAAATTGTTCTGAAATTCTTGTTTTTTTTTTGCTTCCACATTGTTGGACATTTACAGCAGGAGAGCTGGAAGCAATGATCTGATGAGTAACCAGAAAATAACATTTTTACACTTTCCAGCTAGCACAGCAGATGTAATCCACACCTGTCTGTTTCTATCATCACATTCCTGACATTATGCAAGAAATCATCTCAAGATGTTTTGGTCTGAGACGATCCATCCTCCATCCAGTGAGCCATTGTTGTTCATACACTTCATGCCTGTTTGATACAATCTGTGTAGAGCTGTGAATTCATCCTCAGCAGCAATGCTCCTTAACTCCAGACCTGTGAATACGTGGTTCGAGAGGATTAGCATCATGGTGATCCTGCTCAACTGTGTGACCCTGGGCATGTACCAACCCTGTGAGAACATCGACTGCACCTCGGACCGCTGCCAGATTCTGCAGGTAAAAAAAAATAGAACTGTGTGTGTGTTTCTGTGTTAATGCATGTTTTCTCATCAACACTTTGATGAAGAGACTGAACAGAACGCTCGCAGCACCTCTCCACTGTTCCTGTGACTGCATCAGCTGTGGTGCAGACAAACGCTGCAGATTCAATATTTCCCTCCTGGAAGGTTACGTTCTGTCAGCTCCCTGAACGGGGGAATTGGGACTCAGTTTTGTTTTAATATAGTTTTGTGGAGCCACATTTGATTATGTCACTCTGTGATGATAATACAGGTGTAGTTTTAGATGTCCTTAGATGCCCCTGCAGATGCACACACACAGGCTATAATTCTACCTGTGCTGCAAATTCTTATTTTAATCCAGGGGTGTTTGAGTAATGGGAAACAGTGGGCCAGGGTTTTAAAAGAGCCATCAGGTGAGAGGGCACCCTGAGACAAGAACAGAGCCGAGACTGTTCCTCCCACTCATAAATACATGTTCATGTAAAAAAAAACAGTGGAGAGGTAGAGGTGAGATAGATAAAACCTGAAGTCAATGTGGCCCTGATTACAGAGCTCCTCTCTGATTGGCCTGTAGAGGACAGGTGACATGGTTTTATAAGGTGTGTGGAACTAAAGATGTGTGTCATTTTTGATGAGCAGGCTTAGTTTTTTTTTTCCATGTCAGATCAATTTCTCCTGTCTCTGTCTGCAGAGGATGTTCGATCGTGACGTGAATGCATTTATGTGTTTTTTTGGTTTTTTTTGCATCCGGCCTGAAAAAACTTTAATTTTAAAATCGGCATCATCGTTGTCCATCCTCTACTTACAATTCCCTGCCATCCCTAAAGCTCGGTCTCTTGATCAGGATTTTAATCCCTTTAATTGGCCTCTCACCAAAATGACCTTCCCTCAGTTACTTACTGCTGAACTGTTCAGTCGGCTCCATGAAAACAAGAGGAAAGCTCGACTCATCTTTAAATGATCAACACTTTATCCTCAAGGTGACCTGTCGGGAAATAAAACAACATGCTGATCAAGGGAAGCGCTTACAGGTTGAGTTTCATTTTTGAGAGATAATACTTTCATGTTTGAGCACAAATTATTGGATTATATTTTTTTCATTGCTGCTAATCTTTTGTTTCCGTCAGTCAGCCGCGTGTGAGTTATGTGTTACTACATTAATCTGCCAGCTGGATGAGGCCCGAGTGTCTTCCTCTGGGATTGTAATCGCTTTTTCATGGAAGTAAATTTGGCAAGGCTCAATTTCAGGTGTGACAAGGGCGACCTAATTCTGCCACACAAGCGTTTTTTTTTTTTTTTTATTCTCCACTGACATTGAAATGTACCTTAAGGGAACTGCATTGCATTGTTTGTCCCATGTTGCCGGCTCTGTTGACCGATTGAGTGTCCGTATCTCTCTCGCCTCCAGCACATTAGGATGGATTATAATGAACCCCCCCCCAGGCCAAACTGGAATTGGTTTGTTATCTCATTGGATTTTTTTCTGCATTTTACCGAGATTTAAAATAAGCACCGCACTGCAGTTTTAAAAACTGTTCAACATATCTTCCTGCTTCACCCTCTTCCTCCTCCATCACTATGTTTGCTCCTCCTTTTGCTCCCATTACCGCCCCCCCCCCCCCTCTATCCTCCGTCTCTAACAAGCATATTGTCTCCCCAGGTAGCGTGAGGGGTCCTGTTCTGCTGGTTGCTAATGGTAACAGGAGGGATTTTGCCGACACAGCTCAGATTGTTAGAGTGGCCCTCACATGCTACCTCTGTGAAATACTGAACCCCCCCCACCTCACTTCCTGGAGGAGAGAGACAACGTAGCATCTATGAAAAATGTGCACATCACCGCAGTAACTGCTAGGTTACCTGTGTAAAGAGTTAAACCAGGACCCCTGAACCTCAGCGCCTGATTGGAGGGTGATTCTGGTACACCTTGGTAAAGAGAGTACAATCATTCTTCAGGAAACACATCTTTTTGATTTATATCGAGAGACAGATGAATGATTCTCTGTGGGGGAAAGATGCCGGCTTGGCTTTTGATTCATTTAAGCAAATTTCTCTGAAGTTTGCAGAAAATCAAAAAAAGTAGTCCACCATGCTAAATATCATAGCCTGACATCTTGTGCACAGTTAATCTTACTCCAAATCGTAGTGTTGTTTTAAATTAAAAACAAAAAGAAATTCAAACATCGCTAAAATCTACAAATAGAAATATCATGACAGTAATTAAGCAGACAGGTAAGCAGCCACAGGAGAAAATACATAAACCATGCAGGATACACATAAAGCAGCATTGAAAGCAGCAATAGAAAAAATGTATATCATGAAGGACAGACATGGAGCAGCATTGAGCAGACATAACAATGTACCAAAAAAACAAACAAAAAAAACAAGTATTAGTTAAAGCACGTATCCAATAACCTACTAAAGCAAATGTAACGTGCAACAACAAGACAACATGTAACACAATAAACACGTACAAATTACACAAGGCCACATATAAAGCACTGAGTGAGCTATACCTGAAGCTCACCTCAACAAGACAACTAATGAATCATCAAACCTTCTAATCAGCACTTTGAAAACCAATTTAATGAGCTTCAAATGTTCCTCAGAAACTTTTAGAGTCGGGCGTTCCTCTTCCTCTGCTGCTCTGTGAACATTTGTCCTCATGTTACCTTTTGGATTCATGCTCTGATTCCCCTCGGTTACTTCATTCCACAAGCCTCACATACATTATCTTATTCTAATGCTCTATTACGATCGTGATGACCTACTTGTCACCGCGTCTCCCCCCCCCCTTGCCAAATAAGCAGCACAATGACAGCATATGAAGCAGCTTCCAACTGCAGCTCCTATTTTCAAATCATGAAAGGGCCCCCCCCCCCTCCCATCACACGTCGGCCTCAACCTCTTTACAAATCATGTTGACGATAAAAGCATGATAGGCTGACTGAAGAGGACGCTGGCGGCAGTGACAAATAGCTACGATGAATTCATTCTCCTTTCACTCAGAGCCCGAGCGCTGCAGGGAGCCGACTGGTGCAGCCAATGTCGGATTACATGTGAGGCGCGCGGTGCTGCATTATTTATCAAAACATCACTTAAACAGCATGTGAGGCTGATCTTCTCATCTTTCTCATTGCAGGGCTGCCAGCTCTGTCTGAGTGTGTGTGTGCGAGTGAATCAGCACACATGTTGCCTTTATACTGTATGCATCACATCACATCACATCACATTACATTACATTACGCTCATGCCAATATTCTAAACACGCTATGAACACGTCAAACGCACACTGTACAAAACATGATAACCACAAAAGTCTAAATCAGAGCCACCCTTGAAAAACACATCTCAGATTTCCAAAAAATCCTTCAGCCATGAGTCAACACAATGTGTCGCACTGCTAGAGCTAAATGTGATGAAGCATATTCAGTGTTACCATGGCAACAGCCATACTCATCTCCTGCTAGCTAGTAGCTGCATGCCAGCTGTAGCTAACATTTGGCACGTTAGAAGTAGCTCGTTCTGACAGTATTTATTGTGATAGAAAAATGTCCTCAGCACGTTCAGCTTTGTCATCGCTTGTATTAGAGTGGGTTTTTTTTTTTTTTTACGACACATCTTACCTCAGGAGAACCCCCCCGCCCCCCTGCCCCCCCTGCCCCCGCCCTCCTGTCTAACAGGGATAGTCTCCCGCTGTGAGGAACATGTGAACAGCCAGGTCAGGAGTATATCCGGAGCAGCCCTGGAGTGTACATGTGAAAACAGCTTATGTTTCAGCTTTTGTGTATACGCTGATACCAAATCTCTAGAAGTCTACATGGATCACAATTATACATTTTCAACATTGGATTGAGACCCTCCAGCTCCCCCATTGATCTTCAGAAATTACAAATCGTAGTAGCAATTACTACCCTCATATACTCAAAGGAGCTTTCTGCTTTGTTTTTATTTTGTATATTTTTTATTTGTGAGGAAACCATGAACAATACTTAAACATAAATGTTTCCATTTGATTGCATTGTACCAGAGTTAGCTTGGAGCTAATTTACATCTGCAGTCCCCTTGGCAGGTCATAATTAAAACATCACTGAAAAGCTCAACTATATTTCTGACTCTTACCATATCTGACCGGGGGGAGCACGTCTCCTGCTACTCCTCTGCGCTGTACTCACTCTCAGGTGTTCGTACCTTTGGACACAAGCGTCTGCTTAATGAATTGTAGAATTGCTACATTAGAAAAATTCCCCAAATTTCACGCACCATTTATCTCATTTAATTTGCTTCTGCAGCTACAAACACCACCTTGTTATTTTTTAATAAATTCAGAGTGTACAACATGTCTCTACTCCAAGTGGAGGCATATCACTCCCGCTTCTGCAAAGGTGCAATAAATCAGTATTCTTTAGCGCGATGTGGGTTATATCCGAGTCTCTGCTTTGTCGTTTAACTTCTGCCTGAAACCTGAAAAAGGCAATAACCCTGTGTAAAATTGTTTCCCCGTTGCAGCATGTGTTTGAGCTCTGATTTGTTGAACTCTATTCTCCAGTCCGGCTTTTCATCAGCCTGAAGCAACATACAGTTAGAAAGATCTTTGTTGTTCTTCAGCAAGTTACTTTTGTATTAATGGACGGAGCGCTGTCTGAATTAAATTAAAGGTTTATTGCACACTTCAACCTCTCAGCTGAAGATAAACTTCGAGCACTGTTTGAGCAAGCCTTTTCTTCTTCTCTTGTTGTTGCCCTGAGACTCAGCCGGTTTGAGCCGCCACTTAATCAGTACACGTTTGAAGAGGATTTTAAATGGGTCACATTTTTGCATTTCACTTCTAAAGTCTTTATTTTACAGTTGGTCAGCAGAGCAGTATTTCAATTTTATGATTCATAACTTTGACGATAAAAAGTCGAAAACAAAAAAAAAAACGGCCTCTTATTCTGAAGGGGATTGTGTGTGCCCGTCCTGAAATCCAATGCCCGATAAATTTATGAGCATGCAGCCACGCAAAAACTGCATATGCATATTTGAATATTCAGTTGAAACTTCAGATGTAGAAGTTGTGGGAATATGCAACAAGGACACCAACACGATCACACACCCTGAAGCTGTGTGAACGTGTCGAGTTCTAAAAACAACAAAAGGAGGTTTAGCTAATAATCTGAACGTCATGATGTCAGCTGATGGAGGCATGAGCTCATCTTGGTTTCCTCTGAGGTTCGACCTGGATCTCCCTCACTTTTCCCTTCCTCTTCCCTTCTGTGTTGCAGCATGTGTTGGTGCACATTGGGCGCCGTATGTTTTGCATGATGCTACATCAGTGCAGACATACACAGAATTATCTCGTCAAAGACATTCAGAACACACTTCCTGCAGAAAACCTGGCTCATGCAGTAAACCCAGTGCTTTAATAGCCACACACAAACACATCAATCTTGAATATTGCATATTCTTTTAGTGCTTTAGGATCTTAATTTGTGTTGTTTGAAAGGCTTGTGGATATAAAAAATATGAAGTTGTGAAGTTTACCCACTCAAACAGCGATATCATTGCCTTTTAAATTTGGAAAAAGAAAGAAATTCAACGTTCATTTCAGGTGTTTAATGTCAGAATGAAAAATCACTGAAGACTGATGGCGCATTGGTTAGTGCGTGCGCCCCATGTATTGAAGCTGTAGTCCTTCAAGCGGACGGCCCGGGTTCAAATTCGACCTGTGGCTTCCTTTCCCTTATGTCATTCCCAACTCTCTCTCTCCCTGATTTCCGACTCTATCCACTTTTCTATCTCTCCAATAAAGGCCCAAAAAGCCCAAAAGCAATCTTTGAAGACTTTTTGAGGTGTGCATTTGTCCTTAAACCATTTTGATGCTCTGCTGTTTGTTTATGTTTGCGTGTGCTGCTGTGAATAACATTTTTTTTTTGTCCTTGTCCTTTGAGTGTGCAATTTGAACTCCAGACAGTTTGTCCTCACCGGAGAGGACAAGTGCTCCTCATTCACACAGATACTGAAAAATAACCGAAATAAGAGGAAGCTTTGAGAACAGCTTGAGCCATTGAACACACCGCGTGAAAGACAAGTCTGGCTTATTTGTTAAGAGAAAAAATGTGCTTCTTTTTCTCACTTTCCTCCTCCTTCATGTCCCTCCTCTCTTCCCACAGGCCTTCGATGCGTTCATCTACATCTTCTTTGCGTTGGAGATGGTGGTGAAGATGGTGGCTCTGGGGATTTTTGGCAGTCGCTGTTACCTGGGAGACACCTGGAACAGGCTGGACTTCTTCATAGTCATGACTGGGTGAGCATCTTAATCATGAATTCAGCTTTAATCCCGCTTTCAGTAAAGCTTTTATTCCATGTTATTTAAAGAGGTGAGGTATAGCGAACGCGCTCCTAGAGCATGCAGTCTTAAAATGAAATGCTTTATAGAGACACAGAAACATCTTAGGGTATGCTATCAAAAAAATCAATTAAGTTGAATTAAAAAATGTAATTAATTCACCTGGGCTTGAAGCATGAATGAAATTAAAGAATGTCAAGGGTTAGAAATAATTTGTTACTGTCGCACCCTGGTGGTGGAACGAACTACCAAACTTTCCCTTTGCTCCAGCTCTTTCATAAACACCTACGCACTTAATGATTTTGATGATGACAGCTGTGGATGCTGTGCTCTGCCTCTGGTCACTTCCTGTCAGCGTCTGTGTGTCCAATCAGACTTAAAGCTTTTTGTTTTGCACTTACTGACGTTGTTTCCTCCTCTCTAGATCTGTGCTCGTGTTGTTCTTACTCTCTGATGTTTGTCACTTTGGCTGAAAGCGTCTGCTGAGTGTTTTTTGTAGAATTGTAGATTTATGATGACGATATAAATCTGGACCATAAAAACGCTAAAACCAGCTGAAAAGCATGGTCACATATTCCTCCACCTTGAATGAAAGAGCACATATTTGTTGTTTGATTTGGGGGGAGGGGGGGGGGACTTGTTGCAACATATTAGCAGAGTGGAGTGCTTCCAGCAGGACTGTTTATTCTGAGCACTTTATTAAATTCAGAAAGACGATTAATAAAGCTGTCAGGCGCTGTCAGGCGCTGCATGACTCTCAGTCACTCCAGACTCTAACATATCTGTACGCCTGTGGTGCTGTGGACATGAAGGACGAGAGGTCACTGAAGCTGTCTGATGAATAAATGACGGGTCAGCTCATGTGTGACGTCATGTTATCAACTCATAGTTTGTTTTTAATATGATGGTGTGAACAAGCTACACAACCAAACAGAAAAACCTCACACTCATCATCCATTCTTCAAATGTGGAGGTCAATAAAGTTCATACAGGACACGTCTGGGATTTTAAACCATCTTGGTGTTGTGCTGAATCATGACCAGTTACAGACTGGGTGATAAACTACGAGTCCTTCAGAGGGTGCAGTAAATATAAACATCAGAAAAGGCAGTCTGTGGAGGGATATTCTTTCTCAAATGAAACCATTAAGACCAGCGGACTCTTTGCACATGCAGTATTGTATTAACATGTGTGTGGGGGGAGTTATCATGCTGCTATGCTTGAGTGTTGGGTTAATTCACTTGGGGTAAAGATGAAAACACTTAGTCATTTTTTCGAATCCTCCCACATTTATTTTCACCACTGTTTTAGCTTGATATTGTACTCTGGAGAGCAGATGTTGTTTTGGTGTTTCAGAATAGCATATAGTATGTTTTTACTGGAAGACGGAGTGACATGGAGGAATGAAAGATTGAGACTCAGAAAAAAGTTTTTTGTCTTTTTTTGAGCATAAAACAAAGTGAAAAGTAAGGCTAAGAGTCGGTGTGTGTCTGGGTTAAGGACGAGGAGTTGGACAGGAAGAGGGGAGACTATAATAGCCGACAAAGAGAGGTAGAGCATCAGACTTAGCGGGGAGGTGGAGGGACATTTATCTTCATTTGAGCTGAATCCCTTTTTCCTCAGTGGATGCTCGTAGTTGTTGTGTGTTTGACAGTGTGCGTGTGTGTTTGTTGCACAGATATAAACACACACATACAGATTACAGCCAGCCTTTTGAGTTTGTTTAATGTGTGTATGTTGTGTGTCTCTCTGTTTGTATATGCATTTATGTGAAAGCCTCTGCTGTCGTTTTGCTCCTGGCAGCTTCCATTAGATTAGCGTCGAGGCTAATTGCGCGGGGCAGTGCCAAACTCGCCCGGCCAAATCGCAGCCGACAGTCTGCTATGAGCTCCATGTCTGTTACCCACGGGCATCACCTCGCTCTCTCACCCTTATCTCACCCTCTTTCTTTTCTTTTTCTCGCGCTCGGGTGAACATCTTCCCTTGTCACCCCCCCCTGTCAGATCCCGTACGGAGCAGGCTTTCACCCTGACAAGCTCTACAGGGGGGGTTTCTTATTTTGGCTCCAAAACCCTCGCACCACACAAAGCGCCTCCTTGAGCCTGTTTTATTTTTCATACTTTTATATTTGAGTTTAGCCTAATCCACTGCAGTGAGACTTTTCTTTTTTCCTACCAGTCTGGTATCAGCTGTAACAACAGAAATATGTCTCTTCAGCATGTTTTTCAATCCAAGAAAAGAGCACGACCATTTTCACAAAAAGGCAGTCTTGACGTCCGCACGTATTTGACAAATTAGAAATGAGCAAGACTGACTGGTTTTGATCAAGAACACCAAGCAGCAATTCCATCAAAAGCAGAATCAGACTAAGTTGGTTGTTGTAGTGAGAATGCAAGATTAAAAATGTTACACTGCCTGCGCTGTCTCTTTAAGGCTCTGGATTCTTGTTTCAATTAGTAAAAACCATTAAAAAAAAAATCATCATTGTCTTCGTCCTGCTGCTACAGTACAGTGAGTGATGTCAGATTGAGAACATTGAACAGCAGCCACGTTTAGGTTTATCGTTCTCTGTTTTAGATATTCATAGATACAAGTTGCATCGCTGATTGCATTTGATGTTCCTGTCCTTCAGTCGCTCAGCTGTTCCATGTAATTAAAGTGTACACAACAAGATAGTGCTGCAGCTGTGGTAATTGTTTTTTCATCGTTTTCCCGGGGCATCTTGTCAGTTGAGAAAGTGTTGTTTCAGAACTGTCAAAAGAGAGAGAGAGTGTTGTTATTTATGTAAATGATGCAGACACACTTTCCTGCCTGGTCGTCGCCCTGGTTTTTGCAGTGCCGTTGTCCTTTTTTTTGGCCGATTCAACATATTTTATCGGCGTCGGTGAGAGGAATCTCTCTGATTGGCTGTTCAGAGGTTTCATTTCTCTCCAGCTCTCCTCTCAGGTTCAGGAAAGCCCCTTGAGCATGTCACTGTAGTATCCATGCTTTCACTCATTAGTGCGGTTTCTCCTTATTTGTCTCCTCCGCCTCTTCTTTTCTTTTTCCACTAAAAGACAAAGGACTGACAACGCCAGCCCAATTTTCAACTTTTTATCAGACATTATTCTCCATTAGTATTCTTCCTATAATACGAGTGGTGAGCGACAGCGGTGTGAAAATGGTCTTCTCGTATCATTACAATGGACTACCGCCCCCTGCTGGCATGGAGGGTTATTTCCTCTCACTGCAGAACATTGGCCGTCGGCTGTAGTCTTTGCGGTGTGTTCAAATGCAACTTTTTGGCCAAGGCAAAAGGCGACGCCACAGGCTGCCTTCATCGTCACTAGTTCTTGGTCGTCTGAACTTTAACCTCGATGCTAACTTTGATGAAAGCACGACGATAAACTCTCTACAGGTGTCGATTCAAGGCTCGGTCCTTTTCCTCATCTTCTGTCCTTGCACTCGGGCCTACCTTGGATTTCCCCTCAAGCTCTGCATGTCATATTGATATAAACACACACACACACACACACACACACACACACACACACACACACACACACACACACACACACACACACAGACATTCACTCACATTAAAGCATGAAAGAGATGAAGGCGTCACAAGCAAAAAAAAGGAATTTGAAAAATAGGAAACATTCATAAAAAAGGACGCTTCCGGCAGTCCACTAATTACCCTCCCAAACACAGCGGCCTGATTGATGTGAACACTTCTATAGAGCCTACACACACACACACACACACACACACACACACACACACACACACACACACACACACACACACACACACACACACACACACACAGCGCACACTTACTGTACAAAGACACACACACTTCTGAAGACCCACACACACACACGCAGGCACATCTGTGATCTTTTGATTTGATGCTCTCGTCTGTCCTCCAGATGCGTTTGGGTTACTAACAGATAAAATATATATATATTTATATATATTTTTATATAATTATTTAGGTTTTAATGAATGTCAGCTATGATATAATTTCTTACTTAACCTCGTAACACAATCAAACATCATAAAAAGATCCACGTTTTGTGCCTGTTAGCTCGCTAAGGGGAGGAAACGTATTGTTTTTATTGTTTCTAAACCCCCGTGTGACATCTTGGCCTTCTGTTTCAGTCTCTCTGCAGCCGTGAAATCATTCGAGCTACTGCAGATATCTGTAGAGTCTGAGGGGGGCGGGGTTGTAATAACGCCACTATACTCCCAGTTGGAAAAGCCTGGCCCCAGAACAACTCTTGTGCTCTTCTCTATACTCTGACATTTCCATCAGGCTGCTGTGTGGCATTTTCTATAATTTGGACTACGCTGGTTACAGCAAATTGGAAAAACTGTGACATGCCTCCAGTCCTCGACAAAGATCCCTTCAAGTGCGATGCTCATGGGGCTTTAGAGAAAGAGCAAAAAGAATAGGATTGTCGCTACAAGAAAGGATGTCACAATTTTCCAATGTTTTAATGATACCACATGTTTTTAGTATCTGTAGTTTTGATGAGCGATAATATCAGAAAGTACTGAAACTTTAAAAATCTAAATCTAAATCATAGGACAATTTTGCTTGCAACCTTTTGCTACTGAATCATTGCACAACTTATTTGTACATTTAAGATAGTGTGCAGCAGCTAGCCTGCACGTTTTTGGTCATCAAAAACAATAAATCACCCAATACTGAATGCCTAAGTATTCTGTTTTGGTTGCTTTGGTGTGGAAACAGGTATCAAAATCATTTGATATGAAAAGTTTGGGAAATTTTGGGGGATTTTTTGCCTTTAATTGACAGGTAGGACAGTGGATAGAGTTGGAAATCAGGGAGAGAGAGAGAGAGAGAGAGAGGGGGGAATGACATGCGGGAAAGGAGCCACAGGCTGGATTCCAACCTGGGCCGCCCGCTTGGAAGACTATAGCCTCCATACATGGGGCGCGCACGCACTAACCACTGCGCCACCAGCGCCCCGATCTAGCTCTCTCAAACGCCTCTGCAGATGTATTCTGGTTTAGATTTTTCACTACCACATGGATCCATTGCTACTTGTTGGGCTGTGCAGCTAATCCTGCTCCAGTGTGAGCTGATGTGTTGGTGGAAACAGCTTCCCTGTGGGATTAATAAAGTACGACATTATTGTAAATGACACGCTTCATCGCTCTCTCTATGTGAGAGACAGCGAGCCTCGGCATGTTTTTGTTAAAGCCACTAGATGTGCTGCGGGTGTTGTGAAGCTGTGGTGGTTGGTATCATGCTGTCACACACACTGTTGTAGCCCCCTGGGCACACACACACACACACACACACACACACACACACACACACACACACACACACACACACACACACACACACACACACACTCCACCAACATTGCACAATGCACGACCAGCCTGCACACATTCACAAGCACAGTGGCAATTTCTGTCTCACTTAAAAACACATACAATGTACACTCTCTTTCCCCTAAAATCTGTGTTCATGATAACAGTCTTGTAGTTAAAGTGCGGTATGACTAAAGCTACACACTCGTCTTTGACACGCCCGTGCACACATGGCAAACTGTGGCTGTTCTCCTGTGAAAGTGCTTTGGGTTTGGGGGCACAAACAACTTAGCCGTGCTGTGGAAATGACTCGCTAACAGATGCCAGGCTCTGACTGAGCCACAACATCCTGCAGGCAGCACTTAGAATAGAATGAATCCCTCTTTTTCCCCCTGCTCTGCCGCTCTTTTCTTCCTCACCTCCCTTTCATGTCATTCTCCTCTTTTGATGCTTTGTCACTTTATCCCCCTCTGCCAATCTCTCTGGAGTCTGTTGCAAAGCTTGTTGCATTACATTTCCTATGGAGTTCAAGGCTCACACGGCTCTGGGACAGGCCAGACATGTGAGACTGGATCAAAGAGTGACCACTGATGTTGAGCCATGAGTAAAGATCTCTGGTAACTGCTGGAGCTGTGGTAATCCCTTTTTGTGATATTTCTTCACCCCCTTTGTGACTACAGAAAGTTGACACTCTGTTCTTTTTTCTCTCTGTCCCTTCTTCTCTCTCTCTTCCTCCAGGATGGTCGAGTACTCGTTGGACCTGCAGAACATCAACCTGTCAGCTATCCGGACTGTGCGGGTCCTGCGGCCCCTTAAAGCCATCAACAGAGTGCCAAGTGAGAACACTTTAAGATTTCATGTGACTTCTGGTTTTCTCTCTGCTCGTGCTGGAGTTTCTCTTTTTGCCTTTCTGTGTTGGTACATTCACATTTGCACAAAACTCCTGAGAACTCCATGACATTTTCAGGGTAAGCTGATTGTGTGAAAAAACAGATAGCAGAATCTTTCACTCTGACTTTACCTGAAATTCTTCCTGCAAGCCTCTATAGTAAATTTTCCTTGTGAAGTCGGGGCGAGCTGATGTGAGAATGCAGCAGGAAATATTCAGGAAAATTCAACGCCAGGGAGTGGGAGGGGGTGATGACATTTAAAATCCTGCGACCGCAACATGATCATAGACTGTTTGCACGTAATCACACTGCTTCATTAAGTGTTTTTTTTTATTTGCCAGTATGTTCTTCCTCGCTCTTTTGTTGATGTTGTGAAATGTGTCAAACTAACCCTATCACTGATATACTTGGATGTTAAAGCTCTATTGCTTCGTCCACCACTCCTGCATCGTTCTCTATTAATTCATCAGCTTGAATATGTATGCACGTGTTTCACATCCCTAGCTCCTCCTTGCGCCCGGATGCCACCTTTTCCCCGTGAGGATCGTTAAACATTCATCTTATGCTTAATCACGCAGCCCACTCAGGCCCTGAGTCACAGCTTTATCAGATTCCCAAACCGTCCATTAATGCTGCTTCGATGATCAGTCCGTGACCATAACCTTGTACTTCTCATCTAAAACTCCGTTCTCGGCCAACTTTTTTTAATTCCTATTGATTTCTTTGTCCTGCTGCCCCAACAGGAACCTCTTAATCATTCTGAGCACCAATTATCCTTCCTAAGCTCAGATCGAGCCGGCGTCATCACTTAGTTCCAGCACTTCAGCAGTTAGCTCAAGCATTAGCAGCCAATGCTAATTTTATTATTACTTTATTGCTGGCTGTTTTACTACATTACAAGTTGTCATATTTCATCACAAATTTTCTTCATCCTGGCACATTTCTATATATTTTTTTTTAAACATACAAGAATACATACATGAAATAAAATTAAAATAAAACCGTAAATTAATTTACAGCCAATGCTAATTGTGGGAATAAAGTTTTATAGTCTTAAAAATCCTTTTCTTGGTTTGTTTTGTTAATACATTTAATAAAATTTATGTTTTTATAATGATAACACAAACCTTATGTGATTGATAATACGTTTTTGTTAGTCCTGATATGTTAGCAAGCGGCTATCTCTGGTCTTAAAAAATGAAGCCAATGCGGAAGTGCAAAATCCTGCAGTTCGCCGAGTGTCCACTAGAGGCTGGCTCCAGGAACACTGGAAGTCACATACACACCACAGCATTTAACATTAAACATGTTTACAGCCTGCTACAAAAAAACTAAACAGGTCTGATTAGTTATTGTCATCACTGGAACACACTGTCATCAAGAGGCTTAAAAAGGTCGACTGAAAGTTAGGCTGAGACAGGCTTTCCAACATGGCGGCTGCTGCCGATGAGCCTCCGGAGCCCCCTGCAGGAACAGATGGCTGACGTCACCCAGGCTTCAAACATTAATATTTACAGTCTATGGATGTTAACGACTCACACGTGCAGTTTTAAAAGCTTGAACTCATCAGGTCAAACAATCACTTTGGCGCTTTCATTATCAAGTGGCCCAGATGTCTAACTCCCTGCAGAACATCCTGGCTGATCAAAGGATACAAACTTTTCCTCGATATCTTAAAGTCCCTGAGAGAGACTTTAAGCTTTTCCACTTCCACTTTTTAAAAAAAAATCATGAAACAAGTCTGCAGCAGATGGAGCAAATTGCATGAAAGCCCTGTTGTCTTATTCAGTTTGAACCTTGGGGGTAAAGATACTGTAGGAAAAGGGAAACCTGTTTCGAGAGACTGAAGAGAAAATGTCACATGTGAGTGATCGAGATGCACAGATAGAGGACAGAGACGCTCTTTAAGTCTGATTATTGGATTCTTTCTGGCTGCACAGGCTGAGAAGACTGCGGACAACTTATGAACCATTTTAAGCTTAAATCTCGTCCTGTTGTGTTTCTCTGCTGTTCCTACAACCCCCTCTGAAACACTTTATTGGTCTTAACTTTTTACTCTAAACAACATTAGTTCCGTATCTCCGCAGGTTCTTCCATTTTAATGTAATCACCTGAAAAAAGTTGATTTCAAATAACTTAGTTAAAAGTTAGCTTTCAGATGGAGCAAGCAACCAGGAACGTTCTCTGTCATATACTCCAGACGGATGCAGCAGCATCAACAAAGCATGCATTTTGCACTTTGAGTAGTTTGATATTGTAAGCAGTTTGCAAAGTGTTTGAGAGATTAGTTTTCAGATTGCTTTACTGGATTACACTTCATGTCATGTTTCTTTGTGACCATGAGTTAGTTACCTGATGTTTGAGGGCCATTATATTATACAAGTGTATGCAATGAACTATAATTGTCACCTTTCTTTCAAAGTCAATATAAACTGAAATTACAAGCTTGGTAAAGCTAGAATTTCTACCAGAGCTGTTTTATTGGATCATGTATCATACGAGTGTACCTGAGAGGTGCTGGAGAGTTTATATGTGAATGTTTTATAGCAATTTGGTCTGAGCCTATTCCTAGTTTTTGTTTATTTGATTTCACATTGTGTGTGTCTGTGTGTGTGTGTCTGTGTGTGTGTGTGTGTGTGTGAGTGTGTGTGTGTGTGTGTGAGTGTGTGTGAGTGTGTGTGTGTGTGTATGTGTGAGTACATACAGTACTGTTATTGTTTATGTCGGTAAGCTGCATGAGTATGTGGTCGCCTCATTTCATCTGCTATCTGTGACCCCATTAGAGGTGAGGAAGCATGGGGATAAAGCTATTTGTTCCTCCATTTGTTGGATTTCTGTTGTGCCCACAGATTCACAGGGAACACGAGCACATCCTGACCCCTCACACACACCCCAATTTGTAACCTTCCACCAAAGCGGGCAGATAATAGTCCTGCCGTATGTGTTTGTGTACAGTTGTCAGACTTCTGTTTGGATGAAATTGGTGCGGAACGGAGGGAGTGCTAGACAGGACGGGAGAGGTAAGGACAATAAAAGACAAGAAGCAGTCTGAGGTGGATGGAAGCAGAAGAAAGAGAGAAGAGAACTCTTGTGGTTCTTTAGTGAATAGGCCAGTCAGATAGTTGAAAATGTGTTTCTGTTGCGGTGTGAGGAGGACATCCATCTTTATCTGGGAACAGCAGGAGCTGGCAGAGTGTACAGTCACAGGAGGAGAGAGGGATGGAGGCAGGTACTAAAGAAGAGGGAATGAGGAAAAGGAGAAGAGCATGTTGTTTTATTTGCTTGTTTTACTTTTGTTTGACATTTAAATGTAATATCAGTGTTTAGTTTGGATGTATTTTCCTCTTGACTTCTTCTCTGCTGCTTATTTTGGCACTCCCTATTTTCAGGCACAGCCTCCGGACGTGTCTCATTCCTGTTCTCTCCCTCCATTTGTCTCTCCCTCTCTTCACCCAATTAGGCCTAATGGGACAGTGGCCTAATGACAGGGACCCTGGGGAACAAACACATTTAGTCGTGCCTCCAGCCGCCACCAGAGACACACACACGCACCAGCAGCGCCGCTGCTCTCCATTTAATACCAGTTGACGAGATAAATTAGCCAGAGGAGGAAGATGGTCTCTTGGGTCTCAAGATAAAAATTTGTGACATAACTTCAAAATTACTTTTATTGCTTTTTCATTGTTATAATCCACAATAGGCCCATTGATGTCATATCAATATGTTAATAGTTTCTTAAAAGAAAGCATGAACTACAGCTTTATATTATTATAATAATTCCTTTATAAGATTTTGCCTTCTTGCACACTCTTAACTCTGCTGCCGTCTATATGTGAGGGATAAATGAACCTCTGAACCGGAGTGCATACTCACTCGTGTAGATGTGGTAAAAATCAGAAGGGAGTGATGGCACTGATTTATGGAATGGGGTAAACTTTTATACCAGCTTCAGACTCAGAATCAGATTTATTGGCCAGGTATGCTTACACACACAAGGAATTTAACGTGGGTGAACTGTGCTCTCTTATGTACAGGTACAACATTAAATATCAACAATAAACATAAGAAAAGATTAATATTTACATGACTAAATATGAAACAGTGGTGAATAGTGCAAAAGATGCTGAAGTAACATGATAATAACAAAAATGCAGTTATGTGACAGATGGGTCAAATAAGATGTCAATTACAGTATTTACATAAATAAGTGTCCGTAGATTGTCATTTAAATTAGATAATACATATATATATATATATATATATATATATATATATGTATATTCACAGTGACACAAGCTTGTGCTTATGTTCACTTGAGTTTGTGTATGAGTGTTATGCATGGATTTCAGTTCGGTGGCTGTCAGGTGAATAAAGATAAACTTTATTGATCCCCCATTGGGGTAAATTTCTTTGTTACAGCAGCTCAAAAACAGTAGTATAATTAGTAAAAATAGAAAAAAGTAAAAAAACAAACATATTTACATTAATTAGAAATTACAATAGAGATAAAATAGTACTAGGCATATACTATAAACACTTTCACTTGTGGAAAGACAGAGGACAGTTCTTATTAAAAACACACACAGTGTGTAGAATGACTGATTGTGATGAACAGTATTAGAGTCTGAACATTATTAGAGTCAATGAAATAGAATGCATTTACAATAATGCTTTGCAAACTCCACAGCATGAATGCAAAAGGAGTGAAAAGATGTCCGTCAGGAACACGTTCATGTGTCCGTCTGTTATAACGGTCCATCGGAAACACCTACCAGATCCTAGGGGCTTCAACTCCTTTGCATTCATGTTGTGGAGTTTGCAAAGCGTTTTTCACAAATGCATTCGCCTGACACCTCGCAGGTATGCGTGCATACTTCATCATGGTTCTTTTCTCCCTCCTTCTCATCTTTGTGTCTCTCTCACAGCTTGTCTCCTGTCATTCTGTCTGTCTGCAGTTTAGCTGCACTGTCGTGTTTATGACACATTAACCTACCGTTGAGTTGTTATTCACGATTCCCAGTATGCCACTGAAAAACACAAACACATCAGACACACAGGAGCGTAATCAGACTACACACACACACACACACGCACACACGCACACACACACACAAACACCTCTCAGGTGGCAGTACGGGGTAGTGTCACCTCATGAGTGTGTCACATGTTCGTTTCCGTTCTTCATCCAATCGGCTCTCTTCATTGCTCTATCCACATCTCGATGTGTCATCACTGCAGGACAGACTGATCCCTATCGTTTAAGGTCATCATTGTTTGACTCCAGGACACGCTTGTTTTTCTGCAATCAGGTTTCGTCTGATCCTAAACGAGACTCCCTGAAGACTCATTACACTTCTTTGTTCATGCCGTGGACGGGTTTGAATCCGCCGCTGTGCAATCTCTAACGAATGTCATAAAATGAAGGAGGGTGCCACAACTCAACCTTGTGCTTTAGAAATTACTTTCAATTACTTCTAAATTGAAGAAAAAACCAAATACATTAGAAAGGGAATGCAGTACAACCAAGATGAGGTTTTTGAGAAAAGCCCACAGAGGGTTTCTATTCCCCTTTTTCTCTGTCTGACTTTTCTTTCAAAAACGTGCAAATAAACTGAAAAAAAACCTGGATGTCGGTTTAAATAAACTTACCTGGAAACACTGAACACACATTTGATCTTTTCACTATAACATCCACAACTCAAGCTCCACTGACAACGTGTGTAGGCTTCTTACTGCTCAAGGTAAGGAACAGATACTGGTCTTAGTTAAATGAAAAGAATAACACTGATTTAAAACTGACATTTATCCACATTCAACATCTTTCCTAACCTCTACCTTAGTGTTGTACAAGCCTTAACACTGTCACAGTCTTGATCAGGGATGCCAACCGCCTAAGTACTGCCCCCTACATCCAATCTGACCACTTCCCTGTGACAACAAAGATTGAAGCAAAGCAAAGTCCCTTTTTGGCAAAACACTTAAAGGTCACATTTAAGCAGTTTAAATAAGTCTCAGAGCTTCCTAAAACATGTGTGTGAAGTTTCTTGTTCTAAATCCACTCTGATCCTGTATTTGATCATGCCTATAAACCCCTCTATTTCAGCCCTGCTCAGAACAGGCTGTTTCTGTGTCTGTACCTTTAAATATGTAAATGAGCTGTGTCTGACCACGCTCCCCTCTCTGGAAGGGCTCGGGTGTACTCGGTGCTTTCTCGCTCCATGTCCTATTGTTTACGGTGAGAAGGCAGACTCAGAGGGCAGAACAAACACCTAGCTGTGGGAGTGTCACCCACCTGGGGGAGGGGTTACTTCCCTTTGTGATGTCATGAAGGGAAAATCTCCAAACGGCCTGTTTGAGCACACATTTTCTGAAAAGTGGAGCAGGCAGAAGACGGAGAGGATGGACTTTTCTCATCATTGGGGGGTTTGTAGACGGACTAGGGACACATATTAGAGTTAGAACAACATGGTGAAGTGATTTTTGCATAATATGTGACCTTTAATTATTTAGTATTTTTAACAAGTAATTGCAGCCTTGTAGTCAAAGCACCTGATAAAAGATGTGCATTAGAGCAGTTTACACCCTGATTTTTCTGTCCTTATCAAAAGTGTAAGCCTGTGACCTTCTGAAACACACAGGTATGCGTATCCTGGTGAACCTGCTGTTGGACACCCTGCCCATGCTGGGCAACGTGCTGCTGCTCTGCTTCTTTGTCTTCTTCATCTTCGGCATCATCGGCGTGCAGCTGTGGGCGGGGCTACTGAGGAACCGCTGCTACCTGGAGGAGAACTTCACCCTGTGAGTGCAACGCCATAGATCACTGAATGTGTGTGTGTGTGTGTGTGTGCGTGTGTGTGTGTGTGTGTGTGTGTGTTTGTGTTGAGGGCACTTATTTTATACGAGTCTAAAAGTATGCTGTATGTTTCCTCGATTTTAACTTCACAACGTACTCTGTCTTCAAGCCTCTCTACCTTTTCCCCTCTTTCAATCTCTCGCGCTCAAGCTTCAAAGCCACAGTCACTGAACAGCTTTTCCCAGTTTGCAACTGAGAGCGTGATTAGAATCCAGCTGCATGCCTCCATATTCATGACTCGACATGACAGCATCACCCACTGTGTGTGTGTGTGTGTGTGTGTGTGTGTGTGTGTGTGTGTGTGTGTGTGTGTGTGTGTGTGTGTGTGTGTGTGTGTGTGTGTGTGTGTGTGTGTGTGTGTGTGTGTGTGTGTGTGTGTGTGTGTGTGACATTCACCAGTGTTCAGGGGTGTTTCATTTCATGGCTTTCTCTCAGCTGCCTTTCTCATGTTGGCATCACTCTGCTGTAAAGACACATTCCCCTGATGTGTGTATTTTAATATGTATATGAGCTCGTACTCTCTGCTAAGGTCTCTGCTTTTTGCTGACACAGGATATACTAATGTCAGACCTCAGAGCCGGATGAAAGGAGACACGTGTCACCTTAAAGTTGAGAGGCAACATTAACCGCAACAACCTTTTGCAGCAGTCGCTCCATGAGATTACGTTAACCTTTGTTTTCTGCCATTATCTAAACATGTGAGGGTGACTGTTTGTGTAATTGAGCGTGGTTCATTATTATTATTATGAGTGAAGTCGTATTTTTGCATCTTATTTAAAGCATAGTGCTAACATATTCTGCAGGTTTTTTCAGGGTGCTTGTGAGCTTAATTAGAGAGGTCGTCCTGAGTTAGCGCTGGAGGACTATTATGCTAAGCAAAGGGCTAACATTAGCTCTCTGGGAGGTTATAATGGAGTGGGCTAAGTGTCGCAGTCAAGTGCAATATTCACTTTGGCATTTTACACCCTCCCTCTTCTGATCTCTACCTTCTTCTCATGCTTAATGCTGCCTTAGTCTTTCCTTTCTGCCTCGTTCTTTTCTTTCTTTCTTTTTTTTACAAACTCTCCTAATAGCCTGCCTATTTTCCTCCTGATTTATTTCTTCAATTTGAAAAAAAAAAAAAAAAAACTTTCAGAGCTGGAGCGATTTGTTGTGGAGACACATTCGTTCTCTGAGCTGCCTCATTACCAAACATATTTTTGCTCTAATGGCCGCAGAGAGCGGGTCAACCGCACTTAAAAAGACATTTTTATTGTGAAGGAGAGTTTGTTCGATTTACTTCCAGAGCTAGATTAAGTCTAGCTAGAAGTCGGTCTTGCACATATTTATCTGTTTCTATATGGTGTGCCCTTCTCTTTTTTTTTTTCAAACTTTACTTTTTTTCCTCCCAAGTGTCCCAGCTTGGAAACTTTCTCTTATCTGTGCCGCTCTGAAGCCTCGATCTTTACCTCTGCCTCTTCATCGGCAGGTGTGTTCTCAGTGTGATGCCAAGTTTTTGCTGTGCCACGCTGTGCTATGCCGGGTCACTGGCAGGGGGGAAACAGAATTCATTCATGCTCCACTAGCCTGACAGCCCACCCCACTCCTCCTCTCTCTCTCTCTCTCTCTCTCTCTCTCTCTCTCTCTCTCTCTCTCTCTCTCTCTCTCTCTCTCTCCTCTCTCTCTCTCTGTCTTTGTCTTTCTTTTTTTCTTTATCACTTACTTCATCTGAGCATCATAATAATTCAACTATTTCAAGGTCACCCACAAGCCTTCCTCCTTTCAAGATAATCCTTTTATTATGTCCTCCATTGAATTACAACATGTTACAGTGCTGTATATCTCATTAAAGGCTTTATATGTGATTTTTTTACACTTAAATGTAATATAAATCAAGAATATCCTCTGAAAATAACTCTGTGAGTCATGACTGTCTACAATGGGTGTAACACCCGAGTCCCACTGTCTGTGATGCTTTCAGAGTTTTCCGAGTCCTATCTTCAGTTTGTTTACATCGCACGGACAGCCGGCTGACTCCTCCCCTCTTGTATAAAAGTTGTTTAATTGAGGGACTAGAGAAAAGAAGAATAACATACTGTACTCACTGCTTAACTGTGTTTCTAGATCACGCTCATTTCAGGTAAATTTACATGCATGCTAACACAACAATGCAGCGCGAGTTGTTTTCATTCTGGTGCTCAAGGGCGACATCTGCTGGATCAAAAAATCACATATAAAGCCTTTAAGTTATGTCTCATTGTAAACCAGAGAATCAATTCTGGCTTTCTCAGATACTTCCTATATCGTTATGAAGTCATATATCTTGATATGTTATCGATCCTCCTGCCAGTGCTTACATGTGTGGTTTTGTGGTCGAAGCAAAAGGAGAAATATTCCTCTTATGAACATGACCGTTGACTGGAGCCGGCTATCGACAGGAGGAGACAGCGAAGGACGATGAGAGAAGAAGGGAGAAACGGGAGATGATTGTAAATGAGAGACTGGTGCGAGAGACTGGAGAAGAGATTCAAAGGGAGAAAAACTGTAAACGAGAGAATAGCGGGGTAAAGAGAGAGTAAAATACCTCAGGTGTTAGATGCACTAGTGTGACAAGGTGTGCTAATATAGATGAAGTATATCGAGGCAGGTGAGAAACTGTGACCGTGCAGCTTTTCTGATAACTCAGCCGCTGCAGAAAAAAACAAAACAGGAATGAGAAAGCAGGCTGATATGTGCGGAGGAGCAGGGATTAGTTATGGAACAAACAACAACAACAACAGAGACTCCAATAAGAGGGTTAAGGTGACTGACAGAGACGGGTGGAGTTACCCTGAATGAGTGTGTTCTGATGGAAAAGGTCTTTTTGTGCCCTCTCCAGAACCAGAACTAAAGTACAAGCATCCTACACTAGGCCAAGGAGAAGTGCTTTGAATGATTTTCTTTTCTATTTGTTTGTTGATTGAAGTAATGAAACATGTTTACAGACTCATAATAGTCTCATCAGCACACAATCACAGCACCCGACAGCCATCTTTAACTTCAAGTAAATCCATAAAGTGTAAATACGTCTGAGTGCCCCGGCTGACACGATGTGAAAGAGAAACTGTTTGGCATGCCTCCATTAAATCTTAGAAATAAAAAAGGGAGACATCTCAGGAAATGATGAGGCGCTTCACATGGTGGCAATCACTCAGATTCAGAATTTAGAGTCGTGCAGTTTGGCAGGAATCAGCCAAAAACAACTTCACACTCACTCACTTAACGAGGGGCCACTTACAGGTGGTGAGTGAGTTCATTTATGGGGAGTATAGTGTTTGTGTTTATGTGTGAAAAAGGTGTCAGTGAGAGAGAGGATAATCTGTTTTCCTGCTTATTTCACGCTCACGTACGCACACACTCTCACACGCTCTTTCCACATGACTTATTTTACATGATTAAACAATCTGTTGTCGGCTGCTAAACACAATCCAAACAAACATACTTGGCCCGTATCTCTAACCACACATGAAACAGCTGCTTCAGTATCCAGCAGAAATCCAGGTCTATTAACAGAGAAGAGCATGGTTTCTAAACAGGGATTAGAAAGATGTCTGTGTCGGGATTGGAAAGGTTTTCATCAGGGGGAAACGTGGACATTTCATCACAGAGCCAAACTCGGCACAAAAATAAAATCCTACTCAGGAAACAGGAAAATTAAAGCTACTGATGTTCTGTAAGTGGCAATTAAGAACATTTGGAACAGGGCACTGATAGACTAGTGGTTAGTGCGCACGTCCCATGTACAGAGGCTTAAAGGCTTTATATGTGATTTTTCACTCTTAAATATAATAGAAATCAAGAATATCCTCTGAAAATAACTCTGTGAGTCATGACTGTCTACAATGGGTGTAACACCCGAGTCCCACTGTCTGTGATGTTTTCCGAGTTTTCCGAGTCCTATCTTCTGTGTGTTTACATCGCCTGGACGGCCGGCTGACTCCTCCCCTCTTGTATAAAAGTTGTTTAATTGAGGGACTAGAGAAAAGAAGAATAACATACTGTACTCACTGCTTAACTGTGTTTCTAGATCACGCTCATTTCAGGTAAATTTACATGCAGTGTGAAGATACGAGCATAATAAAGATCGCTAGCATTAGCATGCTAACACAACAATGCACCGCAAGTTGTTTTGGTTTTATGCCGGTGCTCAAGGGCGACATCTGCTGGATCAAAAAATTGCATATAAAGCCTTTAAGCCATCAGGAGCGTGCGGCAGGGGTTCAAATCCGACCTGTGGCTCATCCTTTTCCACATGTTACTCCCCACTTTCTCTCTCCCCTTGGTTTCTGACTCTATCCTCTGTCCTGTCTCTAAAATAAAGGCATAAAAAGTCCCCCGAAAATAAATCTAAAAAAAAGAGAAGTCGAACAATAAAACACAATTGAGAAGTGTTGATGAAAACATCAGGAAAGGACGTGTTTGTAGGAATACATTTCTTGGAAACTCGTCACTTGGGTGCTCCTCTGGTTTTCACATTGCATCATCGGGTCTCCACCTGGAATTAAACATTAGAGAAAAATAGCAGAGAGAAAGTACAGGAGTGCTGCTTTAGCGCTGAGCGACCTTGAGATGAGCCGGCCTCTAAATTGAATGCAAAATGTATTCTTGTTCTTTGTTCACTGTTGAAGTTTACAAACTCAGAAGTCTGCTGTGAACTTTAGGAGGAGGGGGAAGGGGGGTCTATTCAGACGGGCAATTTAACGCCTCCTTCTCTGCTCCAAACAGAGAAGGAAAGGACCGTGTGGGATTGGATGAGACGTCTTATTCTTGTGTGGTGGTGTCTGACTTCTTCTCCTCAGGCCACTCATTTTGTCATGTCTTGACCAAAGCATGACCCCGCCCTGTTTACTGCTCCTGTCAGCACGCCTTTGGTTCGCTGCGCTAGCTTACGGCGCTGCTCTCTAGTTCACTGCTGGGTCAGGTTTTTTTTTCTCTCACCCTCACATATTGTATCTCTCACAGCTCCATTCTCCTCTAGATAATAGTGCAGTAAAGTACCAGCTTCTGGATGTCTTTTTTTTATAGAGTGTGATTAAATGTCTTTTTTAATTGCAGGAGATTGAAGAGACAAAATAGTGAATATTTTTTAAAGGATGAAAAGTAGGTCTTTGCATGTTTTTGCATGTATGTGTGTGTTCACAATGGAGACAGGATATACTGCCCTAGTGCTTGTTTGCAGAGAGAGCGTACTACCTAATCATATAGCATCATTTGCATTTCTTAATTCACCAGCCTGCCTTTAATGACACACTTATCTCACAGGCTTGGTTGAGTACTTCCAGGGATTTACTTTAAGTGACTGTGCAGCAGCAAATGTCCCTCGTCGCCCCTTCCCACTTCATCTCTCTCTTTCTCTCTCTTTCTCTCTCTTGACTGTTGAAAACAGAATAATCTACTGTGTACTATATTATTCCAAAAAAACTCAGTTTCTCACCTTGTCCCCTCCAGCTCTTCAGGTATGACCCTGCCCGCTCCGTACTACCAGCCGGAGGAGGACGACGAGCGCCCCTTCATCTGCTCCCTGGCCTCCGACAACGGCATCATGTCATGCACTGACGTGCCGGCGAGGCGAGAAGGAGGACGCACATGCTGCCTGGACAGGGAGGACGCGCTCCACAGACAGTCTCTGGGCCTGAGTCCTGAGCCCATGGCCAACGGCAGCGGCGCTGGTGAAGCACTGGGACTGTGCATCAACTGGAACCAGTATTACACTCGATGCCACACGGGGAGTAGTAACCCACACAAAGGTGCCATCAACTTTGACAATATAGTGTACGCCTGGATCGTCATTTTTCAGGTACGTTCAATCTGAGTGTGAAGGGGACCACAGACATCAGCCTTTTTTTTTTCTTTTTTCTTTTTATATATATATTTTTTTTTTAAACGTGAAATGCAAAATATTAGTGGCACCGGTATCGGTCTCCCAGAGGGAAGAAAAAGTTTCAGCTGTCCATTTGGTTCTGCAAAAGTCCACAACGTGCACTTTCTGTGCAGCTGTGTTGCTCTCTCTAGCACCATCTGTTGTTGCCATGTGGAGTGAACGATCCTGCTAGCTACAGGTACGGTAGATAAGTTCTCATAGTAGTGAAGTCTGGACTCTCAGCCTACGACCCATTTTATTCAGAGTCGGGCTGCACAAGGTTTATTTACTTTACAGTATATTACCGTTTTCTTTAAACATAGAAGCACAGGAGGGAAAAAAGCTGTTAAAAATTTACGCTTGGTGTCCAAGTATGTTGATAGAGTGAATTTATTTAGGTTGTGTGCAGTGGGTGATGGTGGCAGCTGCACGTGCGGTCATGATGGGGCATGTCCTTGATGAAGCTTTATGGCGACATAAGAATTTATATTTGTGATTGTTCCCACCAGTGTAAACTTCTTAGATGAAAAAAGGTATGAACAGTGCAGCATTTTAAGGTCAGTCTTTTTTAGGAGCCTTTAAAGTTAGAGTTAAAAGATTCCTGATTCTTGATTAGGCCAGGGTTGGAAACCTTGTAGAAACAGGAATAATCAAAGATGGAGCCTCTTGGTTAAATACTAAATACTTAAAATACCTAGAGCATAAGAACTCAACTCATATTTTTTGGCTGATTTTCAAATCATTCTTCTCGAGGTGAAATATTTCTTGTTCTCTTATTTGCCAGGTATCTATTCTATCATCCAGTTCAACTGAATCCATTTGGTTTAAACACCCGATATGAAAATGATAAGATTTTAGTTTAAATCTTTTTGCTGAGCGACCCTTGGCGTGCCTCTTTTTAGTGTCTTTAACTTGTTTTTTTCTCAACACTCAGCAGAATCTTTTCTTCTAGGTGATCACTCTGGAGGGCTGGGTGGAGATCATGTATTACGTCATGGATGCCCACTCCTTCTACAACTTCATCTACTTCATTTTGCTCATCATTGTAAGTCGACCTCATTACTAAACGTTCCCCCGCCTCGGTGGTGTGTTTGATTATTAAAAAATGTAAATATTGAAGTGTAACTGAAGTTCATTCCCCAATATTCTGACGACGGTTGTCTCTCGGCGTCGATACATCGAGTGAGAACATTTCCTGAGTGGTGGATTGAAGTGTTAATAGACTTGTGTAAATCAATAGCAGCATAAAAGACTGTCTACAATCAATGTCCCAGGGAGAGATGTTCGGAGGTGGCTCTTTTGCCTGGTGTGAGAAGTACAAAAAAAACAAAAGGAGAGAGGAGGAGGGAAGAGGCAGGGAGGGTAAATCCAAAAGCCTGGATGTGCTTAGTGTGCAGAGGTGGATAAGTGCCAGGTGGTCGTGTAATAGTTCTGCATTCAGATGCCATTAGCTTTCTGAAGGGAAGAAAAAGACAACTGAGAGTAAATGAATGATTGGAGGGTAAATATGGAAAAGGAAACGCATGTTTTAGAAACAAACGCGTTGATCACAACCACACAAGAGGCTCAGTTTCTGCACTTGAAAAATAAAAGACTGTGATCAGAAAACAGAGCACAGCCTCTTCCTCACTATGCCGTACATGTTTTCCTCTCTTTGCCTCATCTCTGACCTGCAGTTAGCTTTGACACTGTGTAATCTTATTGCACCCAAAGATAGCAGACATGGTGTCACAGAGATCAATTCTGCCTGGTTCTGCTCCTACACTGATCACAGACCCATGCAGCCCAAAACAACAACTATAGTAACGTCTAGTGCACTCTGCAACAGGTGATGACATTGTCTAATTTCAATTATGTAAATGTTCAAGTTTCATAAGAACATCTTTAATAAGATGCAACAAGCAAGTTTGCACTGAAAAAAACAGTCATTGTCAGTTTAACTGGAAGTTAGTGTACATGTTGTATTAACTGGGTAATTTGTGTTAAATGTCTTCTGAACTAATTTAAAGTGAAATTAAGAAAATTAGTCTAAAGGATATACACTTTTAGTAAACTAAAGGATTTTAAATACAAGTTAATTTGACCTGGGAGGTTTTAAATGTTTTTAGTGAATAGAAATGTATCTTAAATTCAGTCATCCTACAATTTCAAGGCAGCTCAGACACTCACTTCTTTAGTTCAAACAACTCTTTTTTTTTTTCTAAAGACCATTTGCCATTAAGACTTAACATGCAGGCGTGATATTTCCGATGGATTTGAACAGTGGAGCTCCTGTGTGTTGCTTAATATCTTGGCGGCATTAGCTCAGTCTGTCGGGACTTTGGGTCGGGAACCGGAGGGTTGCTGGTTCAAGCTCTGATATGGACCATAATATGGAAGTTTGGAAAATTAAAAAAGGAGGAATGCCTTGAAAGTGTACATCACAGAGAGGGTGTCTGAAACTTATTTGGTATTTCTTTGGTTGACCTTTGTCACATATTTAATTAGGTTTTTTTTTTTATCATGTCTTATGAGTGTTGCAGCAAACTTAAAATGTAGTACCCCTGTTTTAAAGTTCATGAGTTCATCCTGTCGGGTTTATTCCTGGACACAAAACTTAAAGATGTGAGAAGTTTTGTCAAACGGGCTCGTCTTTATTTGCTTACATTTTATCAAGTGAGCAGTTTTAGTGTCACATTGCAGAGTGTGAATAAATGGATAAAGGGACTTAGAGCTAAGTGCAACAGAGAGGGCAATCATTAGGAGGCGTGCGCGCGCGTGTGTGTGTGTGTGAGAAGGTAGCTACAGATAAATGTACCTGACAGCTGCAGCATGCAAGCACACACACACACACACACACACACACTCAGCTGTAAGAAAAGCCTGTCGCCGTCTTCATTTGTGTGTGTAATGTGTGTGCAAACATGCTCTTGTCTGTGTCAGTGTGAATATGAGTGTGTTTGCATCCGTGCATGCATAATGCAGTGATCATCTGAATGCGAGATATTGGACTGCCCGCACTGATTATGCGCAAAGCTGTCCACTGATCAGAATCACAGAATGGACACACACACAGATGCAAGCCTGGAGGGAAATCAAAGCCCCACACACCTGCAGGGCTGCTTTGACCCACAGGGCCACAGATGGGCATCTCTCCTCCCTCTCCTCACACAGTCACACACACACACACACACACACACACACACACACACACACACACACACACACACACACACCTTCCTATCTATGTTTCCGCTCTCTTTTTTTCTCTCTCTGAATTTCTTTTGAGTCTATTCCCTCGCAGCTTCTGCAGCCTCTCTCTTTCACCTTCCCCCTGCATCTTTCACTGTGGATGAAAGTTTATAGGTGGAAGGTCATTAAGTTTGGGCTCTCTGGATTCTGTCTGTGCATGTTTTATGGAGTGTACCTGCAGCGTGTGTGTGTGTGTGTGTGTGTGTGTGTGTGTGTGTGTGTGTGTGTGTGTGTGTGTGTGTGTGTGTGTGTGTGTGTGTGTGTGTGTGTGTGTGTGTGTGTGTGTGTGTGTGTGTGTGTGTGTGTGTGTGTGTGAAAAAAAGTGTTTCCCAAGGAGAAACAGGGGAAACATGTTCAGATTTGTAATGAACAAAACTGAGACTCTGCTGCAAGCTGCTCCATCAATCCAGCAGTCTGGGTTTTTGGAGTTGTTCAGCATCAGCTTATATTGATTTAATCATTGTTCTGTAACCAGCTTGGAGTAGTCCAATAAAAGCCATTTCACACTCCTGGAGTGATTCCAATTACTGCCGCTAAAAGGGTCGCCCAACACGTATCAGTCACATCCCCCGCTCCCCTACAGTCCCCTCCAACCTCTCACTTTGACTCATGATATAAAAATAAAACCCCTGTTTGTTAAGACAGTCAAATAGATATGAAGGGCTGGATAAAGCATTATTTGTTAAAGGCTTTATATGTGATTTTTTGATCCAGCAGATGTTGCCCTTGAGCACCAGCATGAAACCAAAACAACTCGTGCTGCATTGTTGTGTTAGCATGCTAATGCTAGCGATCTTTATTATGCTCGTATCGTCACACTGCATGTAAATTTACCTGAAATGAGCGTGATCTAGAAACACAGTTAAGCAGTGAGTACAGTATGTTATTCTTCTTTTCTCTAGTCCCTCAATTAAACTGCTTTTATACACGAGGGGAGGAGTCAGCCAGCCGTCCGGGCGATGTAAACAAACTGAAGATAGGACTTGGAAAACTCTAAAAAACATCACAGACAGTGGGACTCGGGTGTTACACTCATTGTAGACAGTCATGACTCACAGAGTTATTTTCAGAGGATATACTTGATTTATATTATATTTAAGTGGGACAAATGTGTATAAAGCCTTTAAAAGAGTCAGACATGAGAGAAGTTCAGATATTGAGTTGGAGTTGGGTAAGGGAGGGAGGGGGGGGGATGTGGCTTTAGGTCAGAATAGATTTGGAGAATAAAAAACATGATAACGGGAAAGATAGCCAGACGCTGAACTCTGCTTCCAGCATGTGTTGGCTCGGTCTGTCTGCTCCAATCATTGTGGGTTTGGTAGGAAGCCAGCTCTTAGAGACCTTTAGCATGTGTGCTAACATGTCTACAGGGGAATTGGCACACATTAGTTGAATAAGCACGCAAGTGTGTGAGTTTGATGCAAAATAGCGACTGAATTCACTGTTAGAGGATCTCAGTTCTTTACTTCCTACATCTCTTAAATCAGCAACATCTGCTTTTTTATTTATGAAGTTCTTTCTTAGTGAAGTTTGTGAAATCTTTGTCTCCCTTGAGCCCCTTTCTTTTTCCAAAAATCATTTGTTTTGTTTTGTCTACATATCACTGCAGTGGTTTCCCACCATTGCTCTATCCATCTATCTGCCTAACGTTGTGTTGTGTTTGTTTGATCCGCATCAAACCAGATCGGTTCGTTCTTCATGATCAACCTGTGTCTGGTCGTCATCGCCACCCAATTCTCGGAGACCAAGCAGCGGGAGCACCAGCTGATGCAGGAGCAGAGGGCGCAGTGCCTGTCCTCCTCCACCCTGGCCAGCATGGCGGAGCCGGGAGACTGCTACGAGGAGATCTTCCAGCTGGTCTGCCACGTCCTCCGCAAGGCCAAGAGGAGGTCTGCAGCTTTCTACTACACGCTCAGGGGTAAGCCCCCTCCGGCTGGCAGTGGCAGGGGGACCAGGCGCGAGCACCGGCATTCAAGGCACCCGAGATGTGAGTAGGAGGGCAACAGCAAATAATAAAGAAAAACGTTTGAGGCTATTATTTCAGAGTTTTAGAGTTTTATTTACTGGAAAACCAAACTGATGGTCGAGGAAATGGATAACTACGATCAGCGAGTGACTGTGAATGTGGCTGCATTTAATGGCTGTGATTTTATTTTTGATGCACCATGCTATGATAAAGCTTATATTCTTTTCTTTTTCTTTGCATCGGCCCAGCAACCCACTGTCCGCACCAAAGCAAGCAAGACCACAGCTCTCAGCCGCCGGCCAACTCCATCAGTCTGACGGTCCCTCAGAGTCCTGACGACTGCCCCATATGTGCGCTATCGCTGAAAGAGGGGGCGAGGGCCGTGGGGGACTCAGCCGACGCCGGGGAGGAAGGCGAGGAGGATGTTGTGAAAGAGACGGGCAAGGAGGAGAACCATCTAGAGGAGAGGGGAGATGGAGAGAAAAAGAAAAAGAAGAAGAAGAAGAAGACGTGCTTTGGACATTGTAGAGATATTTGGAATGATATGAGGAGGAAACTGTGGGGCATCGTGGAGAGCAAATACTTCAGCAGAGGCATCATGATCGCTATTCTCATCAACACCATCAGTATGGGCATCGAACATCACAACCAGGTGGGATGATCATTGCTACAATGCGGTGCTATTTTACTAAACAGAATGGAAGAGTTGTTTTCACCCCTTTCGGTGTTGAGGGGCAGCAGAGGAATTTATAAAGCAAAGGGAAACTTTGAAAGTTTTGCAGCTTAAATTGCACAGATCAATCCCTTTGGGCTGAGGTATGAAGCATTTTTAATCTGATCAGGCTCTGATTATTTTAGGAAAATATCTATGAAGAAAATAAAAGTACAGTTCATCACCGTCTCGTAATCATTTAGGAAGAATACAAAGAACGATATGGTACATGCCTTCAGTCTTTTAAAATGACATGCCATGTTTGATTTCCACAAAGTTTACCAGAGTCTCACCACAGCCTCAGCAGAACAACCACTATCACTGCCGATGAAGCGTTGCTGCTGCTGCAGAATGTAATAATAGCAGATGACATTCAAAAAGGATGAGAGTGTGGGAGTGGAGCATCAGTGTCATGCAGTTTCCCTGACAGAGGTGTAAACATTTAGCCTGGCGGTAGACAAAACTGAGCTGGATTTTTAACACGAAGTCCAGCTCCTCAGAGGCAGAGCAGGCAGGTGTCTGAGAGCCTGCCAAAGGTGCACACATGCATACAAACACAATCACATGGTGCACATACAGTACACATTCATTTGTGTCTGGTGTTTGCATGCATCAAAAGCATATGTTTTTTTTATATTTGAGGATGTGCACCAGCTGAAAAACATGCAGGAACATACAGTGACAAACTGTTACATAAAACATATTTTTCTCTTCCCTTCATTTCTCCCTCACAACTCATCGCCTCTCTGTTTTCTCCTTCTGCACTTTTTCCTCTCCTGCTTCCTTTCCGAGTTAATTTGACTTCCACCACTCTCCCTGTACCTTCTCCATAAATTCCTTTGTGCATCATTTTTCCCTGCTTGCTCCTTTGTTCCCTGCTGTCTTCCTTTCCTTCCTTTCCTTCCTTTCCTTCCTTTCCGTCCTTCCCGCCTTACCCCGAGTGTCTCATCTACTCTCGACTCCTTTTTACCTCCCTCAGTTTCACCCTCCGTCTGCCTGCTTCTCTCTCCCTCTTTTATTTCTCCAACCACCCACTCACTCTTTGACAGCGTACAGAGTAGTTGCTTTCTCTCATCTCTGAAGACTCTAAAAATAAACGAGGGGATGTGGGGGGGATGGAAGAGAAGGAGACGACTGAGAGGGGAAGAAGAGTGAGGCAGACTTCGGTTACACAGCAGTTTTCAACCCTGTATCTGTGTTTGAATCTGCATGTTGTTGTGTGTGTTTTTTTGTGTGTCAAAGTCGGCATGTATGGAGATATGTAGAGACATTCCCATGCACACACTCACAGACGAGTCTGTCTCTTGGAGTCTTTTTCTCTCTCCTGACAGAAGAAGTGATACGGGAGTTTTTTTTTTCTCTCTCCGCAGTAGAAAAAAGTCAAACCTCATGCAAGTTTGTTCTGAAACAGGAACTCTGAAACTGATGCGCTTCTCCTTGAAAAACTTCCAACCACAAGACGGCCTCAGTTGCTCCCTGCGCTGTTTTTCGGGGGGAAATGTTCCACTCAAGCGTGGTTTCTAATTAAAATTGCATATTACCCTGTGAACGTCTGTGAGAGAGTTGCATGACGGCGAGTTTGAAGATGAGCTGCATTTTTTTTCCGGGTGCTATGTGCATTTGCGTCTGGACATATGTGCAGAAGAGAAATTGGCACACTGACATGCAGGCTTGGAAGCTAAAACTCAAGTTATTCATATTCTAGCAACATTCACAAGTTAACTGAGGAGAGGAAAGAAGCAGGGAGAGGAGATTTGTACAAAAGGATAAACTCTGAAATATTATTCAGGTGATGGGAAATTAGGGTAAAAGGTCAAGAGTAGAGTCGGAGGGCACAGGTGCAGGGATGTGATTGTAAGCATAGTAAGAGACTAGAAGAGAAAGAAAAGCAGAAAGTGAGGGGAGGGAGGATTGAGGATATTTTGTGAGTTTAGCTGTGATGGTTCTGTCAATAGCGATAAATCTCATATTGTGTGTTTAGTCTTCTTGACGTAGGTCAAGGTTAGAGCTAAGCGCTGAGGGGTAGAGCATGTTCAGTCCACTGAATATTCAAACTAAAAATCCCTACATTCACTTTTTTTTCTGCTGCAGCTCATCTTGTAGTTTTTGTTTGCAACATTTCTTTTTTTTGTATTTGTTTCATCAAGTTCTATTTTTAAAAAGTGGTGAGTAAGGGTCTAGCCTGGGAACCCGACGGATCTGCCAGCTCATGTTTTATTTGCTCTGGCAGATGTGTCTGGCTGCCGCCTGTTCAGAGCGATTTCCATCCGACCCGTTTACAAGTCCGGCCAATCACAACGGCTCATCTGATATACTGCCCGGTTAGCATCGCTGAGCTCTCCGACTTTTGCTATTGCTTTAAGATTAAACAAACTCAACAGGTTTCACACACATGGTAGGTGATCCACAAATAACAGAGTCTTATTTATTACGTTTTGAAAGATCTTGTGTTTGAATCAGTGAAATTGCCTCTACCAGGTGTACGATGGGAGGGAGCGCCGGAGCAATTTGTCATGTTTCACCTTGATTCTCTTTGGGGTCTTGCATGTGAAAAGACAGTATTTATTTATACTACCGTGGTACTGAATCATGTCGTGCAAAACATCCAAAACATCCAAAATACGCTCTATGAAGTTCATAGAGCTAAGTATCCGTCCTAGCAGCCTATACTGCTACAGTGCTCTGATTTGATGTAGCTTCCACAGCAGAGAGTGTGTACACAAATGGTCAAACGTGGCTCCGCCTCCTCCGGTTCCTAGAATATTTCCTGTGACGGCATCATATTGTGAATTTGCAACCAGAGACTGCGCGATAGAGATCGGCTGTTGGTCCAGATACACTTTATTAATAATAATAATAATAATAATAAAGTTTATTTATAAAGCGCTTTTCGCAGACAAAGGTCACAAAGTGCTTTACATCAACAAAAAACAACAACAGCATACATACAATGAAAGAAGAAAAAAGAAAAAATTTGTACGTCATGGATGACATTATAAAATCCTGCTATAACCAGGAACAATAATTGGCATAATAAAACATAGATGAGTAGGTGCACTGGGTGGACCTGATTACCCATAGGCCTGTCTGAACATTTTAATTGTTTTTTAAAAGACTCAACAGAGTCAGAAAGACGTAGCGAGATGGGTAGAGAATTCCAGAGGATTGGTGCTATGGACTGAAATGCACAATCTTTAGTATTCTCCTTTTTGACGATGCCCCCCTTAGAAATGCAAAATGAACCTAAACTCCAGACAAATCTGCATCTGTGAAAATAGTTTCTCAGTGGCTATAAAAATGTCACCGTCTTGACCTCAGTCTGCTTAAAGGTCCGGTGTCAGCTACAGTGCAGAGCTGCAGTCACAGGAGATATTTTCCCAGACTAAAGCACTGTGGTCAAAATTGAGCTCATGAGATTTGGACTGTTTTTTATGAGGAGTTAATTCCTTTACCTTTCTTCCAGTCCTACTCTATAGATTTTTAGAGTATTTTTCTCCCCTCTCCTCTTTTCTGTCATGTCATCTTCTGCACCTCAACAATCCCTCTACTCCTTCAGCCGGGGTTCCTATTTCTGCCCGTTCTCCTTCCTCTGATCGACAGCAGGATATTGATTGGTGAAGAGATGGTCGGCCTGATAATGAGACTCAGAAAGAGAAAAGAAAAAAAGGGATGGAGATAGATTGGGAGAAAAGGGCGGATTAGGGGAAGGGAGGGCTTGCAAATGTGTTTTTCTCTCTGACATGGTTTGCTAGCTTCGGGAGGGGCTAGTTGGCTTTTTTTCTCTGCTGGCTGTGAAACTGAAATTCACAGGGGGTATCAGAGAAAGCATCTGATCCATATCTTGCATAACTCACAGTCACACACACACACACACACACACACACACACACAGAAAACTTGAATAAAGGAGCTCTACTTCTACGCACAAACACACACAGAAAAATGGAAATGAACCTAGGACTGACTGACATGTTTGTTTTTGTTTCTTTCTTGTGTGTGTGTATGTGTGTTTGTGTGTCTTTGTGTCAATTCCACATAACATGCTCTCCTATTCAGCCAGTGTCTGACACCATGTGTTACACACACATTTGGCACACGCTCCATTTTATTTTCCTATGCATTATTTCTGATGTGTTGCTCCCCGAGTTTTTCCTTCACAATTTCCTTTGAACAAGCTGTGCTAAGAAACTTAATTTGTTTCCCTGTGTAACATATCCATCTCCTCCTGTCCTCTCCCCTGCCTAAGATAAGGTGTTATTATCCATTTTATTTACCAGGTAAAAAAAGAAATCCCTTTTCAGGTCAGTGACAGTTTGACTGACAGCCTTTTCGCTGCAGCAGCAGCAGCAGTAGTGATTGCAAAGCAGGGGTTTAATATCAGCTGTGTTTTTATCAAGCTGTCCTCTACCTGCCTCCCTGTATCACAACTCTTTCCACCAGTTTCTCTGCTCCAGCTTCCAGCTCCTCCTTGCTAATTTTCATCATGTGTGTATCTTATATCCGTTTGTCTCCACGCAGCCTGACGAGCTGACCAATGTCCTGGAGATCTGCAACATCGTCTTCACCAGCATGTTCACCCTGGAGATGATCCTCAAGCTGACTGCTTTCGGCTTCTTCGAGTACCTGAGGAACCCCTACAACATCTTTGATGGGATCATCGTCATCATCAGGTCTGAGATACAAATTAACTTACTCATTGCTTGGTAAACAATGTGAATGTGGTTTCCCCCGGGCTTTGGAGCCTGCCTCAAGTGGACACTCAGGGAACTGCAGTTTGTTGTACTTAAACGTGGGGTGCGTTCGAATTGTCCCTCTTATCTCCTTTCACTATCCACTTTACCTTAACCCCGCGAAAACGTCATGAGGTCAAGGAAAGATGTTAGGAGAATTCATAAAGGACTTAGGGAAAGGCGATCTCGTTGCTCTGACAATCCGACCGCATTTTCCACTAGGCGACGTCATTAAATGCGACGGGCCGGCGGAGGTTAATGACGTGGGTCTGCCATGTTGAAACTACAATGTTCAGAAAATGGACTACAAAAAACACATCTAAAAAACTTTCCCCTGTGCCTTTTTACCGGTGAAATAATCCTGATCACCACAAGGTTGGGATTGAAATAAAAGAAATATAGACTACCAGGCTACAAGTAAGAAAAGTGAAACCATCACCTTCCTGTCCAGTGTATCCTATGCTAAAGGAGGTTATAAAGGAAGCATTGACCCACCTTTCCTTAACTTTTAGAGAATTCGAACGGCTCTTATCATGGCCGCCACTTAAATGCTTCCGAGGTTAAGGTAAAGTGGATAGTGAAAGGAGATAGGAGGGACAATTCGAACGCACCCATTGTGTTGTTTTAAAGGCTTTTTATGTGATTTTTTGATCCAGTAGATGTCGCCCTTGAGCACCAGTATGAAACTAAAACAACTCGCGCTGCATTGTTGTGTTAGCATGCTAATGCTAGCGATCTTTATTATGCTCGTATCTTCACACTGCATGTAAATTTACCTGAAATGAGCGTGATCTAGAAACACAGTTAAGCAGTGAGTACAGTATGTTATTCTTCTTTTCTCTAGTCCCTCAATTAAACAACTTTTATACAAGAGGGGAGGAGTCAGCCGGCCGTCCGGGCGATGTAAACAAACTGAAGATAGGACTCGGAAAATTCTGAAAACATCACAGACAGTGGGACTCGGGTGTTACACCCATTGTAGACAGTCATGACTCACAGAGTTATTTTCAGAGGATATTCTTGATTTATATTACATTTAAGTGTGAAAAATCACATTTAAAGACTTTAAAGGAGGTGTTTGCACGTTCAACTATCTGATGAAGTAGGTGCGTAGGACATAAAACTATCAGAGAACACACATGACAAAGTTTCAGAGGGACTGACACGTCGTGATTTTTTCTGATTAATTGGTAATGACGAGCAAGAGTAATATGTGGGATTGTGGGTAATGTTTAACTCAACATCCTGGGGATAAAATATGACAGTTGCTCCTGTGTTATTTTCCACATTAGAGTGGATTAGTTATGTTCTTGAACTCACATTCTGCAGGATTTCAGTTGGTAAAAACTGCAGTAGTGATTCATTATTATTGTGTGCAGAGGACTGACTAATCCTCTTATCTGATCTTTTTCTTATCTGGTGTTTTCTTCACTTCTATTGATTAATATTCATGTTTAATCTTCTCTTCCCTTTCCTCCACTAACTTTATTCTCTTTATCTCCCATCTTCTCACTGAATCTCTTTCTCTGTGTTAAACATCCATCAACACATCCCTAGTGTGTGTGAGATCATCGGGCAGGCAGACGGCGGTCTGTCAGTGCTGCGGACCTTCAGACTGCTGAGGGTCATTAAGCTGGTGAGGTTCATGCCGGCGCTCAGGCGACAGCTGGTGGTGCTGATGAAGACGATGGACAATGTGGCCACGTTCTGTATGCTGCTCATGCTCTTCATCTTCATCTTCAGGTAACCAAGCTGCACGGAGAAGGTGCTTATGTGACATATTGTTTGAAAGAAAAGAAGTAAGAGAGGCGGGGAGAGAGAGAGAGCTGGAGAGAGACAGAGAGAGAGAGAGAGGAAGTGTAAATAAGGATGTGTGTGGAGTGGGAGGACAGAGATTGTTTTCTCATTGTGACCAATCATCTCTATTTGGCAAAACTCTGCCTGATAATTAACAGCAGCTTGTTTGTTTAGTTGGCCACTTTTATTACAATATTAAATGTGTATCTACAGATTAAGAAGAAAATAGATTGACGGAGCTCATTCCAAGGCAGACATAGCTGAAGGCCTGCGCACAGTTTGTGCAAAAAATAACAGGATTAACTTCCAATTATTAAAGTTCATTCAGTCTGAGCGTGTGTCGAGGCTTTTCTCTTTGCCCTGTAACTCTTTCTCTCCAGGATACAAAACCACCTTCTACCTCCACTTGTTTTTCTGTCAGGTAGCTGGTAATCTGCTTGAATGAAAAGTGTGTTCAGTATCTACCTCGGGTCAGTCAGAGAACTCAGAAAAGGAAAATCTATTCAAAGATTCAAATCAGTATCTTAAATTTATAAATGATTTTCAGTACCCCATCAGCAGTGCTTTTCCTTGGCCACTGTGTAAACTATGAATGTTCAATCTCAGTGATGGAGAGGAGGAGAAATCTTAATATAACTATTCTATGAATTACATTTCCATAACTTCCATTAAACATGCAAACAGCATTTATATAGAACCTAAATGTTTGGTGTGATACTGATGCTGAAAGCTGTAATTTACTCTAATATAACTGTTAAATCTTCTCTCCCCCTATTAACCTCACAGGTATGCACACACACGCTAGTCCCCTTTTCCTCTAATTATTTCTGCACGGTGTGTGATAATGAAAATTAGAACCATATTAGCAGAAATGTTGTTATTAGAATAATGTATTAGAATTGTTGCAATCCATTCAAAATGACTGAAATGAGTTTCTCAGCAATTTAATGCTTTTAATCCATTCCTGCTTGTAGCCCCATGTGTGCATGTGTGATGCATACATCTGTGTGTGTGTGTGTGTGTGTGTGTGTGTGTGTGTGTGTGTGTGTGTGTGTGTGTGTGTGTGTGTGTGTGTGTGTGTGTGTGTGTGTGTGTGTGTGTGTGTGTGTGTGTGTGTGTGTGTGTGTGTGTGTGTGTGTGTGTGTGTGTGTATTCATACCTGCCCACCAGCTTATTTATCCTTGCAGCACAGCAGTCCAGTCTAGGTGTGTCAACACAGATGGCACTCAAGCTTTAAGACAAAGCTAGCAGCAGTTAGCCTAAAGTGCTAAACATGTAGCCACACGAGATGCTACACCTGAAGTCAGCAGTGAAGACTTCTCCATGAATTGATCTGTAGAAAGCCTTGATTATGAACATCATTTTTTGGGATGTCATAATTATTGTTATCTAGTTTATGAGCAGCATTTGTCAACAGCCTTTTGTGTGTCTTAGTTCAAATGAACGTGTTTGTGTGTCTTTTTTCTCGGGTAAGGAACATAGCAGTGTGGGGGAATACATGTTTCCTTGTTTAAAGTTAACTTTGAGCTTCCATTGTTACATATCTGTTGTTGTGAGATTGTTTTTGTTTTGGGTTTAGGGTTTATTTTGGGGACTTTATGCCTTTGTTTTAGAGATAGGACAGTGGATAGAGTCAGAAAGTCAGGGAGAGAGAGAGAGAGAGAGAGAGAGAGTGGCAACAGGCGGGTTAGGAGCCATTGGTCGGATTTGAACCCCGGCCATCCACTCACATGAACTTAAGCCTCTGTGGCTTGTGCATTGACCGCTTGTTTTCCAGCGCCCCTGTTTTGTGTTTGTAAATTGTTCAAACATGTATTTAATCCTGTTTCTTTAAATTATTTGAATACAGAGCTTGAGAAACAGAGAAATCAGACTTTTAAAGTAGAGCAACATTAAGGCAGATTTATTTTATCACTGTATGTTTGGTGCTGAGACATCCCCCCCTTTCTTGTGCTGCAGTATCTTGGGGATGCACATCTTCGGCTGTAAGTTCAGTCTGAAGACGGAGGCAGGAGACACGGTGCCCGACAGGAAGAACTTTGACTCCCTGCTCTGGGCCATCGTCACTGTCTTTCAGGTAGGAGTGGTTTAAACAGACACACACACATTCACACACACTGTGCAACAGCAGGCGATTACATTTGTAAAACCTGATCTGTTGTTTGTTTTCTGTAGATTCTGACTCAGGAGGACTGGAACATGGTGCTGTATAACGGGATGGCGTCCACCTCGCCGTTTGCAGCGCTCTACTTTGTGGCTCTAATGACATTCGGAAACTACGTGCTCTTTAATTTACTGGTCGCCATCTTGGTCGAGGGTTTCCAAGCTGAGGTGAGACATCTGGGTTTTGGGGGGGATTGGACAGCAAATGTGAAAGGTTACAGACTAGCCTAACACTCAACTTGTCCCACTTTCTGCTCCTTCTTCCCCTCCTCCTCCACGCTGTGCCCCCCTTCCCTCCCCCGTCCTTCTCCTTCATTCCCCCCCGTCTCTCTTTCTCTCTCCCTCCCTCTCCCACTGTACCTCCAACACAGGGTGATGCAAATCGCTCCTACTCCGACGACGACAGGTCTTCTTGTAATTTTGAGGAGAATGATAAGCAGAAAGACTCTCTGCATCTCTCAGGTATTTAATGCCCTCAGGAGCTTCACTGCACATTATGTTAATTACAGATTGATTTCCATCTCCCCTCTGAAGATTTATGAACATTTCACCCCTTAATGCAGGCAGGCGCATGTAGTCAGTCCTTGTTTACTAATGTGCAATTACTGAACTTCTGCTTCTCAAAAATGCAAAGGGATCCCTCAACATTTAACTAAATTTCACTTCAGTTATTTTATCATTTTGATACTAAAATGCACCTTTTTATGTGTGGATTTAGTGCGATTGGGGAAAAAAGAAGAAGCATACTCATGTGCGTGCTCTTCGGTCACAGTGTAACCATCCTCCAGCCATTCAGCACTCCAGAAAGCACCTTGTGTTTTGTTCTGCCTTTAGCATCAACAGTTTTACTGCCTGTCGTCCGATTTCCACGACAAACTTTGCTTAGCACCTTTTTTCAAAATGTACTCAAACGTCAATAATGCATGCCTGATGCCACTCCTCCTCCTCCACCACTCCTCTCCCTGCAGGCTCAACAAGAAGCATCATGCGGCAGAGAGTAGCAGAGAGTAGCATTTAGCAGCGCTTCAGGGAGGCCTCTTTGTGATGTCTGATCACAATTCCTCTGAGCGCAAATGTGACTTTTTAAATGGCAGCTTAACTGGAAGAGAAATCACATTTCAAACGTTAATGGCACCTTGAGACTTATTCCGTCAAAAGATATGTTTGAGAATGGACCAAGCTCCTTTCTGTTAGCATTACCAGCTCCTGTCTTGGTGCTGAAAGATGACTCAGTGTACATTTAAACCTTCCTCTGCCACTTGTGCATGACTCTGAGACGTGACGATACGATCTACTTTTTTTTGTCCCCTTGGGGAAATTTGTCTTGGACTCAAAGTGCTGCTAACCATTCAGCTGCTCCCACAAGAAACAACAAATATAAAAGAAACAGAAACGCACAAATCAATGCAAACCAAAAACAACCTATTTTGCACATTACCCGTTACATTTCCTTCCTCTTCATCACCGCTTGTTCCTCTTCTCTTCACTCTCTCTCTCTCTCCTACAGACCCAAAGATCTGCACTCTAACCCCTAATGGACACCTGGACTTGCCTGCGCTGCCCCCTTGTCTTTTCCAAGGAGAAAGGTTGACCTATCCTCTCGGCTCCAGGAAGAACAGTGTTATTTCTCTCGGTAGGGCCAACCTGGAGCAGCGGGCTTTGGTAAGTATAAGAAACTACTGCAGTGAGTTCCAAAGCACAGAGGAGATGCTGGTCATTGTAAATTCTTGATTGGCTGTAGTTCATAAATTTAGTTTGACTGAAACAATGTTTTTCCCCTGAATCAATTCTGTATCTTTTGTAAATAAATGGGCTCAGATTTTTTTTTTAAATGGTGGTAGAAACCTCTTTCTTGTTCTCCGTTCAGTATCCAGGCCGAGCTTACCAAACCTGGGGTCGCCCGCTGCCTCCCCAGCCTCAGGCCTTGTGGGCCCGTCGATCAAGCTGGAACAGCCTTGGAGGGTGCCGCCCCCTGCTCCTCCTCATCTCCCACGGCTAGTCCTGGCTTCACCCCGTCCCCCGCCCGGCCCTTCTACGGTTACGGCCTGGGTGCTCTCGGTGGCGTCGTCGGAGGAAGCCTGCGCATCCGTGGTCCCCGCGCCTCTTCGTCCCCACACCGCCACCTCCACGACGACCTTCCAGACGAGGAGGAGTCTCTCCTCTCTCCTCCTGCCGCGGCTCCTCGCTCCCTTCACCTTCCTCAACCCATGCTCCCCGGCCAGTTTGTGCCCAGGAGGGACCGCAGAGCTCTGTCGCTCGAGCTCCCTCACCTGCTGCAGGTTCCGGGACAGCCGCACCCTCCGCCCCCACCGCACCACCCGCTGCCCCCCATGATGCTCCACGCTCCCTACAGGAAGAAGAGCTTCTCTGGGGGGGTGGTAATCAGTGGAGGCGGTGGGCTTGACAGTCTGGGTGTCTTAACAGGGGTGCACCAAGACTGCAATGGGAAGACTCCTCTGTCTGCTCTCCTGCAGCCCCCTCCCAGAAACCAGACTGAGCAGGCTGGAGGGGTGAACCCCCAAAGCCAGCTGATGGCTGACGTCTTCCCCCAGGTTAACAACCGCAGCAAGAACCAGGAGGACCTGGATGATGACATTGAATATGTGAGTTACTGTCAGGTGCGCGTTGGGAGGGAGGGAGGGAATTAAAGTGTAATAGCATTAGGAAAGCCTGGTGAGTAAGTGCAGTAAGCTTATGCAATCATACGACTTTTCCATGCATGCAGTCCAATTCAGCAGCTGCAGATAAGCATCCACTCGGCTCTGTGTAACCGCATCTAAAGAGAACAACGACACAGGATGTAGCCTTGTGATTCCCTATAAGTGGACCATTAGCTTTTCTATAAAAGTACAAGATTGAACACAGCTCTAATAATAATCTGCTCTCTTGTGTATTGTGTAGGATATCCAAATGCTTTATATAAGCCTTGCACTCCCTATCACCTGGGCCTCATGGGAGTCCCATTGTTTTCTCTGTAAACAAGTCTGTGTACCAGAGAAACAAGGTTAATTAGAAAGGACTATTTAGACAGTGGGGGGAGAGAGCTGTACAGATGGTGATGTTGGAAGATGCTCTGAGCTGTTGCTATAGAAGTAAATAATTCATATAGGGGATATAAACAGGCGCGTTCTATTTGGAAATTCTGTGTGTCTTTTTTGTGTGTACTGCGTGATTGAATGGTGCATTGTGTGTGTGCGCGTACCATCACGTGTGTTGTCATGTCTGTGCTTTTGTTGCAGAGCTTGTGCTTCCGCATCCAGAAGATGTTGGAGGCGTACAGACCGGAGTGGTGTGAGAGCAGAGAGGACTGGTCTGTGTTCCTCTTCTCCCCGGATAACAAGTGAGTCGTATTTTTTTTATCCCTCACTTCACCTCTTCACCTTTCCCTTTGTTCACCCAGCCAACCACAGGACGTTCTCCTTCAAGATAATAATAATAATAATAACAGTTTATTCATCCTGCGAGGGGAAATTTGTTTTTTTACACTCTGTCTTGTGAACATGCTTCACAAACATGGGCCGAAATACACACACATGCACAAACAGGATCCTATGAACATGCATTAATGGAGAGGTCTCAAAGTGAGGGGGCTGCCCACAGCGAGCCCTCCTGAGCTGGTGGGGGGGGTTAGGTGCCTTGCTCAAGGGCACCTCGGCAGTGAAATTAGCTTCCTCCAGAGGGTGTCTGGGCTCAGCCTTACAAATAGGCCGAGGAGCTCGGAGTAGAGCTGCTACTCCTCTGCATTGAAAGGAGCCTGTTGAGGTGGTTTGGGCATCTGATCAGTATGCCTCCTGGACGCCTCCCTTTGGAGGTTTTCCAAGCACACCCAATTTGGGAGGAGACCCAGAATATGCTGGAGGGATTATAAATCCAGTCTAGTCTGGGAACGCCTCAGAATCCTCCAGGAGGAGGAGCTGGAAAACGTTGCTGGGGAGCGGGAAGTCTGGGTTGACGTTCTGCGCCTGCTGCCACCGCGACCCGACCTCGGATAAGCGGAAGAAAATGGATGGATGGATATCCATGAAACTCTGCCTATACGTCTAAATGTGACATGATATCTGTAGAAGAAATGTTAAACTACATCCTGAAGGTGTTTTTCAATAAAAGGCAATCAAATCTCTCCGTGCCTGTTCTGAAATACTCACACAATAAACACAACAACCTCCCACTCCCACCCAGCCCTTTTCAATTCAGTCGCTTTCTTTTTCATCCGTTCCAATAAAACACAGCACCCAAAGGCATTTAATTGCTTTTTGGCAGTACACTGTGTCACATGCTAAGTTGTGAAAAATGCACGCTCAGTATTTAAGTGTCCCATCTCGTTCTGCGTCTCTTTTATCCTTTTACTTTTTGTATCTCTCTCTCTCTCTCTCTCTCTCTCTCTCTCTCTCTCTCTCTCTCTCCCCCATCCTTCCTTTAGAGCTCAGGGAAGTGTTGTGCTTCTGAGAGTGTTGTTTGTGCTGAATTAGAAGTGTTGTGAACAGGGGCTGAATGAGGCCATTTACAAAGAAGATGTGAAGGAGCTCCCGTGCACCGTCAGGAAAACTTGGCTCCCTTTTTTTTGATTCGACGGAGGAGGGTTTATAAAGTGTGTTCGGTCGGAGTGTGTGTTAGCCTCTGTTTTCTTTTTGTCAGCCTGTTTTTTTTTTGCATTCTCACACTCTCCTGTTTTCTCTTTTTCTCGACTAATCCCTTCTCTCCTTTCATCTCCTCCCACTTCCAGGTTCAGACAGATGTGTCAGTCAATCATCGCTCACAAGCTCTTTGACTACGTGGTCCTGGCCTTCATCTTCTCCAACTGCATCACGGTCGCTCTGGAGCGGCCCAAGATACTGCAGGGAAGCTTGGTAAGTCAAACTGCAACATGTCTATTTTGGAGACTTGGATGTTTTTTTTTTGCTTTGGACTCTTAACCTCTCTCTCTCTCTTTCTCTCTTTCCCTCTTGTCTCACCAGGAAAGAGTCTTTCTCACCATCTCCAACTACATCTTTACTGCGATCTTTGTGAGCGAGATGACACTCAAGGTAACATTTTTACGACCCGTCTCTCTCTATAACAACCAGGCGTCTTCTATGTCTGTCTCCTCCCGTGCCCTCCTGTCTCGTCTCTTTCCTCTAAATCGACTTTGCCTCAGTGCACCAAAAATCCAAACTAATTTCCTTCCATTCTTGCCAATTCCCATGTTCCCTTGTAGAACAGAGCAATTAAGCAATGTCATTAATTAGTGCCTATTCCTTTCATATGGATGTGATCCATCTCCAGCACTCTCCCCCACACTCTCTCCTTCCTCCCTGTCCTCTCTGATGTCGACGGCTTCTGTTTCCCAGTTTGTGTTTCCGTATCCTTACCCTCCCTCTGTTTTCATCAGCGTGTTCAGACACACTCTCAACCTCACCACATCTTTATTTTTCTCCACCTCCTTTTAGCCACTGTCTGTGTTTTCTCAGTGAAAGGCTTTGGCACAAGTGGGCCATCAATTATGCACTCCCATGATCAATTATTAACCAATCCCGGCCCGTCAAAGAGCCGCCAGACTTGTCAGCCCCCCCCCTGGCTGAGCCGTACACGTCCCCCCCTCCCCGGTGTCTCTGTCTGTCTGAGCCTCGTGTATCTCTGTAATGTGTGTTTGCTGGTGTAGCATTAATCTCTCTGCAGGACTCCACCACAGAGTGTAGAGCTTCTACAAGATGCAGAAACACAAAGAGCACAGTGCGGCGGCATGCTGCAAACATTTGTGGAGTGTTACTTAATGAGGCACCTCACATAGCACCCTCCAAATAATTGTTATAATTGTACTTTGTATGAATAAGAAATGTTTGTTCTTTTCCTATTCCTTATCCTAAAGTGTTAAATTCTACACTAGAGCATCATCAGAATGATTTGAATTGTGGACTCAATATAATAATAATAATAATCTTATTTATACAGCACTTTTCAAAAACAAGTTACAAAGTGCTTTACAAGGACAGCAAATATAAAAACGATCAGGTCATAGAATAATAAACAAGGCAAGGAATTATTATTAAATTAAGGAATAAAAATCACTTTAAAATATAAAATCCCTTTTCAAAGAACTGTAAAATACATACAATTCGTTTGAAGGAATTCTAAAAAGTGAAAATAGTAACAAATCAGGAAAGGCTCGCCGGAAAAAGTGTGTCTTAAGAAGGGACTTAAAAGAGACGACTGATTCTGCCGACCTGATCTCCTCGGGCAGGTCGTTCCATAGTCTTGGAGCCCAAACAGAAAATGCTCTATCCCCTTTTGTTTTTAATTTTGCACATGTGCAATATGTGTTTGGAAGTTTTGTACTCATGCATAGCAGTCAGTTTACTTTTTGGCATTTCGTCCTTAGATGTTTGCCTGGCACTGATCTTTCAAACATCACGATGTGTTTGCACACTAACCCCCCCCCCCCACAGTCCCTCTGAAGCTTTATCCGATACTCGGCAAACAGCTTCAAATGTCAGTTGCAAATTTTTTTGCCTGCGTCGGCATGATGCTCCCGCCGCTGCTGCTCAGCAAAAACACAAAATGTGGCTGCTTGTGTGCACGTGCATTACAAACTCCTGCACAACATCGATTGCTCGGTGTTTGAGTCAGAGAGGAATAAAGTATCGTCATGTGTCGGACAGTCTTACAGTGAAGCGTTTACAAGCACACATAGAGTCATCATCACAGCACCATTGGATTGTACAGTAAACAAACTGTGTGCTCTTTAAAGTGATGCATGCTGTGTGAGATTTTAAAATGTCTCGTTAGTTTTCACAGCCTGAAGTTGTCTTCCTATCCCTTTTGAACATGAACTATATTATTTGAGTTATGTATTTGTTGCTATGGATCCTGAGGATACAGTTTGTTTGTTTTTTTTCCTTTTCATTTTGTTTTTGTATTTTCTTAACATGTTCAATAAACTGACTAAATAAATAAATAAAAATTGTACAGTTGACATTCACATTTACTATCTGTTTATCATCTCTCATTTGTTTTTGTTTTTCCCACATTTTCTTGCAACCCCCTTTTTCTGCACATGAGTGTTATTATTTCAGCTAAAAAACAGAAATTGTAAATATCTGGTGATGGTGTTAAAGTTACCAAGTGTCATGTGTTATTCATAAGCCCTCTGCACCTCTTCTTCTTCCCCGTCTCTTCAGGTGGTTTCCATGGGGCTGTATGTGGGGGAGCAGGCCTATCTGCGGAGTAGCTGGAACATTCTGGATGGCTTTCTGGTTTTTGTGTCTTTGATTGATATCGTCGTGTCCATGGCGGGCGGGGCCAAGATCCTGGGCGTGCTAAGAGTGCTCAGGCTGCTCAGGACACTGCGCCCCCTCAGGTATGGACGAGGCTCTGAGTGCAGTTTCTTGAGTTTAGATCATGAAATAGAACAATAACATGCATCCCTCCTAGAATCAGAGATCTTGCAAATCATACATAAGACCTTTTATACTCTGTCGACCTCCTTTGTAGTTTGTGACTTATTGGATGTTTTCCTCTGTCTGCCCTCCGTCCTCCAGGGTGATCAGCAGAGCTCCAGGGCTGAAGCTGGTGGTGGAGACCCTCATCACTTCCCTCAAACCTATCGGCAATATTGTCCTCATCTGTTGTGCATTTTTCATCATCTTCGGCATTCTCGGTGTGCAGGTATGACAAAGGGAACAGCTGTGTTAGTGATAACTATTACATGCACATGCTTGTATGAATAATTAATCGATTGTTCTTTGATTTCTTCACATTACTGTGATTAAAACAAGTAATTATCTCCCTCCCTCCCTCCCTCTCTCTGAGCAACTTTGAAACCTCCATGCACATGCATCACTTTCTAGAGAAAACTCACATTGTCATCTTTCATCCCCTCATAACACCTTCTCCTATTTGAAGCGATGAGCAGCTTCTTATTTCACATTGGAGCGGCTGCAACAGCACATGTCTCTCTCTTTTTTTTTTTTTTTACAAAAGTTACCAGAAGAAGTCAAAAGCTTGGTCTTGTGTTTTTTCAGCTTTTTAAAGGCAAGTTTTTCTACTGCTTTGGGCTTGATGTCAAAAACATCACCAACAAGTCGGACTGTCTGCAAGCCAACCACAAGTGGGTCCATCATAAGTACAACTTTGACAACCTGGGACAGGTAAGTGACACATTTAAGTAATCTGGATCGTCTTGCATGCCTATAAAGGAAAATGTATCAGAAGATTTCATCAACAGGATGTTTCCCTCTCTTTTTCCGTGTGTCCTCCAGGCTCTGATGTCTCTGTTTGTACTTGCCTCGAAGGATGGCTGGGTTAACATCATGTATCATGGCCTGGATGCTGTGGGTGTAGACCAACAGGTAATGTCATATAATGTACAAACAGCACAAGAAAAAGAAACACAGAAAAAACAGATGCATTGATTTTCTACGCGTCCAAATATTTTTCTTTCCCTCCAATCCCATCTCTCTCTTTTTTTTTTTTCTCGACCACAGCCGGTGACCAACAACAATCCGTGGATGCTGCTGTATTTCATCTCCTTCCTCCTCATCGTCAGCTTCTTTGTCCTGAACATGTTCGTCGGCGTGGTGGTGGAGAACTTCCACAAGTGCCGGCAGCACCAGGAGGTGGAGGAGGCCAAGAGGCGCGAGGAGAAGCGTCAGCGGCGCATGGAAAAGAAGAGGAGAAGTAAGGGAGCGGGGGGGGGACAAAGAAAGAAGGAAAGCAAAGAGGAGCCCTCTTTTTCTCTCCCTCTCCTGGGGGAGCATTTTGTTTTGATTTGGCTTGAATAGAAGTAATATGGAATAGGCCAAAAAGCTTGGAAGCAAACACAAAGTGAGTGAAAACAAAAGGCGTTATTGTGACAGAGAAAAAAAAATGAGCAGGATGAAAAATGAGCGAGACAAATAAGCACGACACACAAACAATAAGTGTCACATTTGCTAATGTGTTCGGCAATAGGGAAATGTTGTTCTGTTCGATGTTAGTCCAGGTCAAAAGCTTTCAAATGTAACTTTTTAAAGTGGTTCAGCTGGTTTTTCCCCTGGAAGAAAAAAGGTGATATTTTGTACACTTGAATTAGCAACAAGAGCATTTTGTTTTGATAAAAGGTTATATATTTTATAGTCTGAAGGATTTATGATTATTGGCTGTCTCAAACCGTCTCAAACTTTAGGCATTAGTTTTTATCTTAACTCTAACATCAGACACAAATGCTACTTTAATTTGTTGATTTTTATTTGTTTCTACCAACAGAAGCACAGAAGCTGCCCTACTATTCCAGCTATGGCCAATTACGCCTGTGGATCCACACACTGTGCACAAGCCACTACCTGGACCTCATCATCACCTTCATCATCGCCATCAACGTCATCACCATGTCCTTAGAGCACTTCAATCAACCTCGTGTAAGAAGGAATTTTTAGCTTTGTGAGCCAGGTGTGTGTGTGGGGATATTTGCTGCTTGGTGAGAGTGTACCTGTGTCAGTGGGCACCGGTCCAGTTGTGAATTTGTGTCTGCAAAATGAATAGGGAAGCGCCTTGCAATGCTGTTTAAAGGCTTTATATGTGATTTTTCACACTTAAATATAATATAAATCAAGTATATCCTCTGAAAATAACTCTGTGAGTCATGACTGTCTACAATGGGTTTAACACCCGAGTCCCACTGTCTGTTTTCAGAGTCCTATCTTCAGTTTGTTTACATCGCCGGGACGGTCGGCTGACTCCTCCCCTCACGTATAAAAGTAGTTTAATTGAGGGACTAGAGAAAAGAAGAATAACATACTGTACTCACTGCTTAACTGTGTTTCTAGATCACGCTCATTTCAGGTAAATTTACATGCAGTGTGAAGATACGAGCATAATAAAGATCGCTAGCATTAGCATGCTAACACAACAATGCAGCGCAAGTTATTTTGGTTTCATGCTGGTGCTCAAGGGCGACATCTGCTGGATCAAAAGAAATATACGCATATACGCATATAAAGCCTTTAAATAAGTAGTAAAAGATTTTCTAACTTAGCCACGACCTCCTCCAAAGCTCCTGCTCCCTTTATACCGTCAAAAGCAGACTCAATGAAAGTTATTTATGTCTGTCAAATCACATAGTTTTTTTCCTGCACCGGACTACTTTCATTCATTCTCCCAGAGAGCAGAACCTTCAAAACCACACAATGAAATCACGGACTGGTCCACCACCACCGTGAAGCTGTATTCAGGCTCTGCGGTCGTTTGTTGTGAGTGGCTCTAGTCCACACAAAGGGCTCTGTGATTGCTCGGCTGATTTTGATGGGAGCTGCAGTCTGAACGGTGGAGTGAGCTGTGCAGGTCAGGTATCTGTCCATTCATGGGTGATGAATGGGAGGTTCAAAGTCCCTGATCGTGTTTCTGTGAGGGAGAGAGAAATGATTATCCTTGAGATAAGATGCCAGTTTGACCTTTTAAAATAGAGCAAGATTCCTCAAACTGACCGAGCGTCGGATAAATAGCACAGGTCTTGGCCGGTGTTTGTCAGCTGTTGGTTGTGACATTTGGCAGCCTTCTGAGAAGCTACAACTCCATTTATTTACAAATAAAAAAAAAAGGAGGAAACAGCAAAGTAAACTCCAGTCTCTGCTGTAACATGTAGCCGAACTGAATGCTGCTGAAGAACATTAAACCAATGCTTGCCTCTGGAATATTTGGATATTCTGCAAATGTAATTTCCCTTAAAAATATGTGTATGTAGAGGCATAATGTATGCATGAATATTTGTGCTGCTGCTGTGAATGGGATTTTGCTCTGTGTTTGCCTCTGGCATGCTTGATTTTACTCTACAAACAACAGGAACACTTCCAGTTCTACATTTCCCCCTGCCAATGTGGCTGATACTCCATTACACACACACACACACACACACACACACACACACACACACACACACACACACACACACACACACATGCACACACATTACACTTTTTTTACTCTCTCTTTCCAGTCCCTGGATCTCGCCCTGAAGTACTGCAACTATTTCTTCACCTCCACTTTCGTGCTGGAGTCAGTACTCAAACTCATTGCCTTCGGCTTTCGACGCTTCTTCAAGGAGAGGTACAGTGTGTGTTTTTTTTTTTACTTTTGTGTGTCGATACCAAAGACTGTATAAAGAATGGACAACGGGATACCTCACCTCAAGTGCAGCCAAAAGATTTATAGCTCTCCCTGCTTGCTGGCTGCACTATAGGTCATAAACCCGCCTACTCAGCATTTAAAGATAGGACGAGTCAAACCATAATATCAATATGTCAGGTACATTATTCTGAAACCTGGTTTCGTCATGATACATATCGAAGGATTTGTATTTTCAAGGTCGTCTTTTTTCGGGGAAGTTACTTTATAAACGCCATGATCGACAGCTCTTTCCTGCTATGCTGCGTGCACAGGATGATCAGAGGACAGCAGAAACGGCGAGAGGAAGCTTAACAAACATTAACAACAAGAGTCATTGAAGTTGCAAAATCGCGAGTGTTTGCTTCACAAGAATCTGCTCCACTGTGGACTGTGCCCGCCTGAGGGATATTTTAAACGTTTAATCGGGAAGGTTAGTGCGTGGAAGCGGCGTCCCAGACGATCCCCGCTGTGCAGACTGTGGTTGCAAATAAGCAGTAAATCAGCACCTGTCATGGGGATATTCTGGCTTCATGCTGTTCGGCGTGTGGAGGATGAGGCACACTGTCCATGTCTATATACAGTCAATGGTTGACACAGTGATTGTGCATAATGGGTGGTTTCCATTTGCCTGCATGTTTAAATCTTTGTGCTTGTTTGTTGAGAACACAACACACAACAGCTTGTCATTGCAAACCTTCTTCGTCCACTTTAAGACAGGATGCAGACGATCAGTCAGCTTTTCTTACGGCCTTTGAAGTGTCAAGCCTGAAAACGTTTTTTAGGATAATACAGCTTTTTATTTCTGGGACACTATCTATTAAAACGTCACCAACAATGAAAAATGAAAAATGTACCCTATGTTTATGTCCAGTTAGCTAAGTCACTTATCTCATATTTGATATGAACGTTAAATTGTTTAAGTTAAAGGACTCTCGGCACATGCTTTAATCCCTTTCTTCGACGTATATTAAAAATAGTGCAACAATAAACTCTTATTTAGCTCAAAGTGTAATGGCTCTACACATCCGCGTCTTGCTTTGATCATTACAAACGGAATAAGGAATAACAGCTCTGATGATATAGAGGATTATAGAATATTTGAGCCGGCTCTCAGGCGCTCTGTTATTAACTTGAATAATCCATAAAGTGGAACAAATAGGATCTGTTGACGAATATCACATAGGAATCCGCCCTGTCGACGACAACCTGCTGGAATTTGTTTCTGGTACAGTTTACAGTTTTGTTGTTGTTGTTTTCAGCTTTCTTCGGTCAGCATCAAATCATTTATGTTATTTTATCTCCTGACATCATTATGTGAGTATAAACTATGATTCACGTACAGTTGAAGCTTTTCAAATTGATATGACAAACCCAAATCTTTCCCGAGATTCTTTCATTGCAAAGGATTAAAGGTGAAATGATTCTGTAGTTCTGATGAAGGAAAAAAAGAAATTGGAGTATCATTCCCAAATGTCTCTCTGAATTAGCTGTCTTACTCCAACGCACTGCTCTTACCTTTGGTTGACCTCCTTGAATAACACACCTCAGCCTCCGCTCCGCTTTACTCAAAGCCCCGGACTAATTGATTTGTCAATCAGCGCTGAGAGTGATGTCTTATTCTTTCCAGGAATATGTTGTTACTAATTAAAGTCAGAGAACGATGTGGGCCCTCATATCACACCGATGGTACTTTAAAGTCATTGGCCCAGTTTGAGAGGAGAGAGAGGGAAGAGGAGTGATAAAAAAGACGGGAAGCTGCACCGATCAGAGACAAAAAAAAAGGAGATGAAATGAGAGAATACATCACACACATATCAGCTGGCACTTTGTCTCTGTTTGTGTTGTGTCAGCAACAGCCGTGAGCAGTTTTTGTGCAGAGTTTGATTTATAAGCTGGGTTCACTATCAGGCCAACTTCAGAACTGGGTCAATGGAGGAGTGAGTAACACACAAACACACTGCCATATATACCACAATATACAGTGAGTGTGCAGGTGTGTAGGTGTTTGTGTGTGTGTGCTCTGTTTATGTTGTGCAGTTTTTTGATCAGGTGGTACGTTACATCCCTAACTCAAAACTAAAGCAAGGGTAAAGAATGTGGAGACACAATGAAGGATTTAAACTCAGGTTGATTTCCACCCAAATCCTCCAAATGTAAATAATATACCAAAAAACCCAAAGGGACTGGAGTAGTGATGTAGTCAAGACCTCACTAACCGGGACCAAGACAGACCCGAGACCAGAGTGCTCCGAGACCAAGACAGGACCAAGACATTTAGGGATCAAGACTGAACAAGGGCGAGACCAAAGCAGGACGAGACCGAGACAAGACCAAGACATTTAGGGATCAAGACCAAGACCGAACAAGGGCGAGACGGAGACAAGACCAAGACAAGACCAAGACATTTAGGGATCAAGACCGAGACAAGACCAAGACCAAAACATTTAGGGATCAAGACCGAGACAAGACCAAGACCAAGGCAGGACGAGACCGAGACAAGACCAAGACAAGACCAAGACCAAGGTTGGACAAGACCAAGACAAGACCAAGACAAGACCAAGACAAGACCAAGACAAGACCAAGACCAAGGCAGGACGAGACCAGGACCAAGGCAGGACGAGACCGAGACAAGACCAAGACAAGACCAAGACCAAGGCAGGACGAGACCAGGACCAAGGCAGGACGACGCCGAGACAAGACCAAGACATTTAGGGATCAAGACCAAGTCAAGACCAAGACATTTAGGGATCAAGACCAAGTCAAGACCAGGACCAAAGCAGGGCGAGACCGAGACAAGACCAAGACCAAGACCAAGACCAAGACCAAGACCAAGGCAGGGCGAGACCAAGACAAGATGAGACCTTCTAAAAGTGGTCTCGAGACCGATTTGGAGTACTACAACACAAGACTGGAGACCTTGGCCACAAAAAATGGGAAGACATGGACCGGCTACGTGATGGAGTGACATCCTCAGGCTCCCCCTAAACCCCCCTAAAAACTAAACCAACAGCCTGAAAACTGAACTGCAGGTTATCTCCAGCCCAAAGTAAAACAGGAACTACACACACACACACACACACACACACACACACACACACACACACACACACACACACACACACACACACAGACACAGACACAGACACAGACACACACACACACCTGTTTAAAGGGATAAAGGGATTTATCATTTATAATGCTGCCCAGAGTGTGTTCCAGCCTCTCTCCTCTACCTGCTCCTCTAAATCCCCCTCCTCACTGAGTGCACATTCTTAAAGGGCTGTAGGGCGGATGCACCGCAGCTTTCCACTATGAAGAGGTGGGTAAGACCTGAATTAAAAACGTGACAAAGGGAAGTAGAAGCACACTCTTCTGGGCCCTGAACAGAGGGAAACATAATCATGTGCATGATGATAATGAGTCAGCGGAGGCGGTTGATACACTGTTGTCACTGGAATTTCAAATGAGAGAGTTTGGCAAGCGTGACAAATGAAATGTGGGTGCCAAATGTTTCAGCACTCTGGGTGCTTTGCGGAGTGAATCTCAGATCAGGATGTGCACCTGATTTACCATCCACAATAAAAAAAAAACTCACAGTTTTAAGACCACTCAGATTATTTCACAAAGATGTATATTCACTGACTGTGCTCCAGAACGTTAGAAGGACTGCGTTACCTTCAGGAGCAGTTACACCAGGCAGTAAAGATAAACATCCCAGGATGTCTGCAAAGGAGGAACATTAGTATTTGTTCACTAAAGCAGTATTTAAGTTTGATGTCATAACGGCGATGGAGGCTTTAAGTGCTTTGATTCGCTGCCAGATTCTTCAGATTTAGCAACATCTGTTTCCCATCTGTCCTCAGGCCTTATAGAAAGAGAAGTCTAACGGGCGTTTTGCTCTGCAGGATGGATGTATGAGGGGCTATCAGGCCGAGGAACTGTAACAGGGATGGGCAACTTTTATTACCCAGGAGGCCACATTAACTTTATTCTCACTGCAGG